TAGAAGGATAGATAGCTAACTAGATAGGTGGATACATGGATATGTACTTGTGCGTGGGCATGGCTATTTAAACGATCATGGGGCTTAGTACCTAGCGTTATTATCGAACAACGATGCATGTTGTTTATAACCCTCGTTATTTATCGATACTTATAACTTTACTTATATACTAAGTCCCATGATCCTCCAAGTAAGGGATATGAATATGCTGAGGCCATCCTTCACGACGGTCACGCTTTTCTGAGTCTGAGACTTCTAGGAGTTCGGCTCCTCGTAGTTCAGACTTGTCAGCGGACAATCGTTATATGGAGGTGATTGTCATCACTTGCTATCGCTCGTTGTTTATGGGCAATTCTCCTTCTTCCTTTCGGTAGTGGGAGTCGTAACATTCGTATCTTTCTTACTCTCGTGGGTAGCAGGGACTTCATGAGTAGTGTTGCCTGTTCTGTCTCAGCACGCTAATTGTGACTCCTCAGCCTGGATGTCGACCGATGCATCCCATCAGCAACGACAGAAAACCCTGGACATGCCGGTGTTTTTGATCGAATGTGGCCTGGAAGCCCTCTAGATGTATGGGATTATTTAGTGTTTGGAGGCTTATGACCTTTTCCCAAAGTTCACTGGCAGAACTGCACTGGATCCGATCATGTAGGAATTTTCGGTTTCACGTCTCACCGGCATCGCAGGAATCTTGGAGACGGAGCACCCTGTCTAGGAAGACTGCTGACGACGCAGTTTACGTTGTAGTGCTGAGTTCAGGTGGTTAGTCCAAGGGTAAAAAGAGGGACCCTTAATAAGGACCCCTAGGTGTATAGGGCCCACTATAGGGTAGGGGTCCCCAGTACGGGTCCTTCCTTCTCCCCTTTGAGTTAGGTGAGAGAACCAACCAGGCTGCACCCACCAGGCAAAGCCGGACGTTCTTATTATTTTGGCAACCTGTGTCTGTGTGGGATCTAGAATTTAGGGTGTAGGGAAGGTTGACAGTTTGGGGATTCAGTCAGAGCGCAATGCCTCGTGCCGGCAGCTGCCTTTGACATTTTCGGTTGAACTATCAACGGATATCGGAGCCCTAAACCCTAAACCCTAAACCCTAAACCCTAAACCTTAACCGCATGACCTGAGCTCGCCCTCCTAAACTGATGGCCTGCAAGTTCAGGGGCCTGGTTTCTAGACACGGGGTGGCTCTATGTTGCCAGCAGAGTTGTGGCTACTCTCAGGTATCCTTCACCTTAGTTCGAAAACCCCAAAACCCTAGAAGGCCCTAAATCCAAACCCTACACCCCCTCAACCCTACACCCTAAACCCTAAAACTTAAACCCTCCACCCCTAAACCCTAAACCCTATAAGTCCCTATAGATCCCTTTTAAAGGACCCCTTATAGATCCCCAAAAAAGGAAGCCTCAAGCCGACCTCCCAGTCCCGCGATGCCTTTTTGGCGGCTCCCTCTCTGAAGCCAAAGCTTCGGGACTAAGTTAGTAGGTTTAGGGTTTAAGGGGTTAAGGGGTTTAGGGGTTTAGGGTTTGGGGGTTTAGGGGTTTAGGGGTTTAGGGGTTTAGGGCTTGGGGGTTTAGGGTTTAGGGGTTTAGGGTTTAGGGGTTTAGGGGTTTAGGGTTTTGGGGTTTAGGGTTTGGGGGTTTAGGGTTTGGGGGTTTAGGGGTTTAGGGGTTTAGGGGTTGAGGGTTTAGGGGTTTAGGGGTTTAGGGTTTGGGGGTTTAGGGTTTGGGGGTTCAGGGTTTAGGGGTTTAGGTTTTAGGGTTTAGGGGTTTAGGGTTGGAAAACATCCTTGACAAACATTGCATTGAAATGGTTTAGGGGTTTGATGGTTTAGAGTTTAGGGGTTTAGGGTTTAGGGTGTTGTGATGATCAAGCTTTTGAAGGGACTTGTAAGAAGCTTATATAGGGTCTGATTATCAAGTTCGGGTCTAAGTTAGAAGATGGTGTGAGTATAAAGCTTTCGACAGGTCTTCTAAGGGTTGGTAATCGGGTCTGATTATCTTATCAAGGTCTTCGTGGAGTCTTCAAAGGGCTTCAACTCAATCAATAACTTGATTATTTTTACCATGCCACCGTCGGGTTTCACAACGGTTCCGCTTTTTGGCTCAGGGCTTACCTTGTCTTGCCGAATGACTGGGGCTCAGACTATACAGCACCACCGGTCTTAGGGTTCCGTTTTCATGGCTTTCGGTTTCAGGTGTTCGCGGATGTCTTGGGATGGCGAAGGAGGGCAGCTTTTGTAAGCGAGGGTTCTGGAGATTCAAAACCAAGTAACCACACTGTGCGTGCCTGAGATGAGCCTATACTCTGGCTAAGTTGAAGGGTTTAGGGTTTAGGAGGTCAGCGGAAGGGGCTATTTGGTGTGGGTCGGTTGGTCCCATCCTTCGGCAGCTCATTGGGTTGAGGCCGAAAACAGCCAGAGTAGAGGGTTTCCGCCGCTTTGATCAGTTTTGCATGTTCGCCCTCTCGAAGAGAGGGTCGAATACAGGAATTTCTGGGGTCGGCTTCTACGACTGAAAGTCAAACTTGGAGTTGCAGAGTCCTAGGAGTCTGAGACGCCACCGCTTGGCATCAGAACACCCCAAACACTCCTCCTACGCTTCAGACGAAGATTGAAGCTTAAGCTTTCTGCGACAGCTTTGTGTAGCTACGGTTTTTTATACACCTAGAAACGAAGAACCTTACACAGCCTTACATCCTGCATCCTACGCTGTATGATTATTGTTTTTCTCATTACAGCATATTGCAGCCCTATAGTTTGCTTCCTACACACCTTGTCATTGCCCCAAACCCTACTCCTACTGTAACCTTTTAGGCTCCTGTCTTGGGTCCATCCCATGATCCGATCCCCCGAAGCTACCAATCACGCCGGTGCCGTTGGAGTCCGCCACCAGTCCCTTGGAATGATTCTGGTTGAGGTTTTTCTGTAGTATCGGGGTTTGCGGTTTACGTTTGATTCAGACTTAGAACTTTCGGTAAAGGGGTATGGGTTTTGGGTTATTGAAACTGAAATGTCTTTCTGCACACAGTTTCGGTGAAGGGGTCTGGGTGGGGTTTGGGTTATTGAATGCTTTCTGCGCACAGTGGCTTGCTCTTTTACCCGATGCCTCGAGTTTCCCTGTGCCTGTGGCTTGCAACTTTAAAGGATCTTGCACCCTAGCCTCTGGGGTTACTATTCGAGTAGCAGAGTAACTGCACACAAAAGCCCAATCAAGGTAGTTCTGTCCATACGTTCTAAGTCCCCTGGATTTTATAAGTAGGCTCTAGCAAGATTCGCGGCTTTAGTTTTTTTGTTTTTACAGTGATTGTTTTGTTAGCAGGGATCGCTTTGGTTTCCTCGTTTGGTGTTCTGTCTCGGGGTCCGATCTTTCGTGGCCGGATGCTCCCCTAAACAGTAAATTTCAGGGTTTAGTGCATTCTGAACCTATCTGAACCCTCAGCATTGTACCTTTTTTGTAAAGCAAGGCACTCCCATCAAGGACTCCGCTACGGCGGTAGGATGTTGGTTTCACTGTGCGTTGTTCGCAGATCCGGGATGGCAGAGGCGAAGAATTTGAGCTTTGGGCTCGGGCTTCAGGGGCGGATTCCGGACTGACCGTTGATGCTTTGTTGTTGCGGTTAGGTCTGATGCTGTTGAGGAGGTTTCGGTTTGATTGAGGAGAGTTGGGTTCGATGTCACGAGTTGCACCTCCGCTGAAACTAGCAGCTAGCACTTCACTGCATGGGTGTTTTCGCTGTTGCAGTCTCATTCATGAGCGTGACACTACAGACTTCTCAAATGCATCGTCGATTAAACGGCGACATATTCGTGTCATTGTGAGCTAGCCCAGAGCAGCGACCGCTAACGGAGGCCTCCCTCGTGGGGCCTCCTTGGCATTACTTCGGGAACGCAGCAGACGTCAGTTGTGGTACATGGACGGGTGTGAACAGTCTCGAATCTCGAAAGATTCGCAAATCCAGACATCCAGCCCGGATTGATGCAATCACAGAAGCTCCAGTCTTGAAGGGACTTTGTTTGGCTTATTCATGGCAAGGGTGTCTGAAGTGGTCAAGCAGCCAGGCGGATTCCATCGGCTGGGTCGGTGTGGATTGTGAGCGCAATCGTCGGCTACACATATGTTGATGTTTCTGCTTGCTTTCCTTGAACACTGATCGATGACCCCTGCAAGTACGATTAAGCTAGTTATGCATGGTAGGGACCTGGTGTGTTGTCCATTGCGCTGCCTTCTGCAGTAGAGGCTCCGGAAGTAAGCTCGGACAGGCATCGGAGGAAGCGACAACGTTTGCTAGGTCATCGGCGCATGGTTCTATGCAGTTGAATCAGAGTTTTGTTGTTGAACAGCTTCTTGGCACGCCTATCATTCAGCCTTCTCACCGTAAGAGCTGGGATGGTCACATCGCACCACGAAGCCCCCAACAAATGCATAAATGCTATTCTTCAACGCTTTTTTCTTTGTTTGCTCGTCAGGCCGATGCAGCAAGGCTTTGCAACTGCATGCCTAGGCCACAATCGACAGCTTGGCAGCTTGGGTAGTCGGAGAGCGCAGTATGCCTGGCTTCAGCAATATGCAGGACATGAATTAATATAACCTTAATTACACCTTAAACCCCTAAACCCTAAACCCCAATTCCTATAAACCCAAAAGCCATGCTCGTTTGACTCCGGAGTCGTAGCCAAAGCATCCGATCCTGACGATGGCGCTCCCAGCTCTTGACGAAGGCGCACAGCCCTCGTCTTCAGCGGCGGGAGCGGACGCTTCCCTAACGCACCACGTCTTTCAGGTAGGGGCCTAAAGAAGTGCCTATATATACTATTTTTGGGGTTCCTTTTTTGATTATAGCTATAGTACAGCGGCCCCAACAACGCCATTCTCATTAATGAGACCCCTTTATCACAGTGTTGCGGTGTGCGAGCTTGTGTTTCCTTCGGTAAGCATGGGCTCCATAAGAGTTCTAATCCTGACAGCTAAAGCCCATAGCTATTACCTCCTAGACTTGCTGGTCCCATGTCGTTGCTAAGGTACTTGTTTGCACTGCCGCCCGCGGTCACCAATGCAAGTTGGAGGACCCTGGCTTACTCCCCCTGTCATTTGTGTATGACAACCACTAGTCATGTAGGAGGGACAGCCTGATTCTTGGTTGCGATTCCCTCCGCCCTGAAACACTATGGATGCGACATCAATCAGGACCCTGAGCCGCTTGAAGCTCCTCTTACGGAAAAGTTTCCGGGACACCGAAATCCGTATCCACGCGCCAGCGGCGGAGGGCTCGCGTCAGGCTCGCGAGAGATCAAGCCCAAGCCCTGGACGTGCTTTTCCGCGGTGGAGGTCTTTCATTGATCAAAGTGTCCCGATGCAGAGAGATTGCAAGCTGCACCCGACACTTTGGACACCGCCGGATGAGCGTTTCTACTTGGAATGTCGAACTTCTCAGATTTCCGAGCTCTTGCACGAGGCAGTCGGCTTACTCGGGGGCGAAGTGCCAGAACAGGCTTGGATGGTTTTGCGATCAGGCGTAGTTGCCTGGTTGGACAAGTACGAGGCTGACATCCTAGGAGATTCAGGGGAACTCGGCCGAGTGACATGTCGGCTTGGACGCGCCGCAATTCTGGACGACTTTCCACCAGCTTTTGGTCTTGTTATCAGAGAGGCCCCGTGGGATACGATGCAGCCCACCTTGTCGATAGCCGGGCTTTCTCAGATGGCAGTGGCGGTTTCGAGGATATCTTTGCAGTTGGTGGTTCGACCTCTGCCCATGTGGGACCTCGAGGATGTCTTGCTTGCCACATGGGGGAACAATCAGTTTCAAGAGCTGGAGGAAGCACACGGGGTCATGTTTGTCACGTGCGCAGCCAGGCGCCGCCGACGTCTTCACCCAACGCGACTGCCGACGAGGCTTGCCATCCTCGCCCCGGGCGATGCAGACACCGCCGCAGTCGAAGCCGCTTTGCGCCAGCGCTGTTGCGTTTCAGAATATTTTTCGAGTTGGCCGACAAGAAAACCAAAACCGTCGTCCTTGCCACTTGGCGTGGCAGTCGCATGGTATTCAGACTTTGAGCAAAGACGTTGCGACGACCTGGAAAGTTTCTTCAGGGGAGCGCATGCCATGTTTGGTCCACTGTTCACTTCTGGCCACACCGTTTACATGGAGTTCCTGAGTCGTTGGAGGATCGGTCTTGTCACGTGGAGGTACATGTTCCATTGGGACAGACTCAGACTTGGCATTGGGAACACGTGTGACCTGCAAAATGTGCACGACTCGGAAGATGCGCTCTGGCACCTTTCGGCTCCCTGCACAGATGAAATGAAGCTTGGAACTTGCGATCGCAATGGCTGGCCCCCGGCTGGCCACTATGACATTCTGTTTATTTGTGCCAAGCTAGTAAGTGAGGATTGTTGCCCGGTGTATCGCTTCGGTGTTGCTGGCAAGGGACATGCTCTGCCAGGATTTCACGAGGAGCTTCTCGACTTTGTGTTTAACCTTCAGTCGGGTAATGTGTCGCAACTGGAAAGACGCTTGCTGCAAGCACGCGTGGAGAAGCGGGCTCTGGAGCGTCAAGTGCAAGAGTTGGAAGGGCGTTTGAGGACCTCGGAAGCACAGCTGGAGAGACAGGCAGAACACGGTCATCCGATGTCGTGGCTGCTTCCCACGTTTCAAGAAGTGGCAAAGTTTGCGAGGAGCATACCCAGTCTGCGACCTTCCGGCCAGGTTCAACACCTTCCCGTGCTCGCACTGCGCTTCACACACAAAGCCGTGAATGCCCACTTCGCTTTCGGCGAAGAACACGAGAACAGGCAAGAGTCCATCTTCAAGCTGTTTATGGGCCTCTTCATGGGGAACTTGAAGCCTGAAGAGCTCGAGCCTCTTTACGTGTTCAAGCACGAGGGTCCTGATGGCACCGTTGGGCTCTACTCCCGGAACAACCGCCGTCTGGTGGCCTTGCTCATGTTTCAGGCACGCGATTCCGAAATTTGGGGTTTAGATTTCAGCATGGTCGTTGCGTCTGTGGCCCGTCTATCGAGGCAGCTTCGCACTGGGGATGCCAGCATGTCGTTGGTGCATGTCATCTCATAAGCGGTCATGGCGATCAGTTTCGTGATGCAAGTCTTCACGGTGTAGGATTCTCCAGGAGGTATACCCAATATATCAGTGTCTAAATAATGATAATAGGGTGTTGGGTCCCATGATACCATGATTATAGTAAGGAACCCCAACCAAGTATTGTATAGGTAATTAATACTTCCCGTTGGAACCCCCGGCATCTCAGCCAAACCGAGCGGGGCTTCTGCTGCGCAGGCTGTTCGTCGAGATGAGCTGGCGCCTTGCCACCTTCTCCCTTCAGGGGTCCATGTAAGTATATAGCGGGCGTATCGGTACATGGGGCCCTAGAGCTTCAGGGTAACTCGTAAGATAGTTAGAGATTAGTAGAAACCTTTTCCCTTAAAGGGTCCATGTAGCCTCAAAGTACAGGTGCTCTGTGATGCTCAAGTATCTGTTTGTAGGAAGCCCTTTCCGGGCGAAGTCTATGCAGTATCGGTACATGGGGCTGTACAGTTTCAGGATAACTCGTAAGATTCGTAAGTGTTTAGAGCAAGTGAAGCCCTGACAGCGGTCAACCCTAGCTTGCGTTCGATGCTGATGTCTTGATGAGGCTGCCCAAAACGGTAGTACGGTAGAGCATGCGAGTCTTCATGTTTTGGTTGCGAGACCTGTTGCATGCCCTATCGGAGTGCAAGCTTTCCAGTCCGCCCCAAATCGATGACGGCTGGGTAGCTTAGACAGGCGCCGCATGATGATTACCAATTTGCAAACACGGCGTTTGAACGACGATCGTTCGAGAACGACTTCAGTAGACCACGACTCTTTTGAAGGAAGTGTGCTGAAATATGTCAGTCCAACCCAGGTCTCGGTCCCATGCAGAGTATTGGATTCCAGTGACCAGCGATGGGAAGCACCTGGAGGACACGAAGTGGCGGTCCATTAATTGAGGGTCTCCAGTTTTCCGTGCAGCTTTTGTTCCGAACATTTCTCAGTTTTGATGTTCCGTTGATTTCAATTTGTTTCCGGTTGTGAAGGCAGAAGATTCGATCAGTGGTTTCACGAGGGCTACGACGGCGGCAAGGGCCTTTCCATCCACCCCAGGCCGGGTAGAGTTATTACTAAGGTAACTATACTTATAATTACTTATAACTTAGAAGCTGCCCCCAACCTGTAATAGTGACTGTAAGGATAGGGCCCAATTATATTCCTATTATCCACTATTACAGGGAAGGGGCCCCTTCTAACTTGTAACACTAGTTAAGGTACTTATAACCATGCTTACTAAGTCCCTTGATCCTCCAAGCAGGCCGGGGAGGCAGCGGGAGGCCCAGCATCGCGGCTATCCGCTCTTCAACCCGGCCCGGACCGCCATCCAAGCTCTCCATCGCGCGTCCAGCCGGGCCAACGACAAGCTGGCAGGAGACTAGGTCTGTTAAGGAAATCAAGTGTTTCAAGTTACCATAATGGGGATCTATAGTAGAAAAACATGGTTTCCTTACTGGGTTAAGTTAAAGCTCAATTCCTTAAGAAGAACACAGGAGACCTCGCGCAGATGCTCCTCCGCCATGTCCACACTCGCACCGGCCAAGGCGAAGACGAAGAGACTCTCACCTTCGCGAGTGGAGGGGAGGACTGAGCATTGAGACACAGGCACCCACGATTCCTGCAGCAAGCTTCGCAGGGATGCGTCCAGCTGAAAAGGGTGACATGGGATCAGCGCATGGGGAGAGTTTCGAGCTTCACTGTGTGCTCAATTCACAAACCCCCAAGCCATCACTAACCACTAGGATCTAGAGTGGGCCCTTATTCCCTTTCTATGGGCTCAGGTTCCCTTACAAGCCCCTTGAAACCAAAAAGGCACCATTTTTATTCCTAGGCTATTCTTGGGCCTAGATGATTATGCTATAGAGGAGCCCAAAACTCAAACCCTATTCTAGTCATTAAGAGCCCTACATGCCTAAATCAAAGCCCAGCTTCCGAAGCCGGGCCATGCCTGGCTTTAGGAGCCCTCCGGACTTCGAGCGTGTGATACTCAATAAGAGCCGGCCCTGACACCGGTTTAGGGTTTGGGGTTGTGGGTTTGGAGTTTAGGGCTTGGGGTTTAGGGCTTTGGGTTCGGGGTTTAGGGTTTAGGGTTTGGTTTAGGGTTCGGGGTTTAGGGTTTCGGGTTTAGGGTGTAGGGGTTTTGGGTTTAGGGTCATCAGTGAGCTGTCGACGGCAAGCAGGATGAAGATGTTTATCCAGACTTGAGGGTCAAGAAGCCCGCCTAGACCCTAGGCCCTATATAGACTGTGGCACTCTAGTGCTCTGCAGCCCAAAACTTGACCCGAAACCATAAACACCCACCGCGCGAACCCTGAAGCCCGAAGCCTGAAACCTTACAAGCCCCTAAAACCTACTGTAAACCCCTGAACCCTAAGCCGCTAAACCCCTAAACCCTAACCCCTCCCTTAAGCGCCAAAGCATCCTGAAGCGACCGTAGACTCGAACAGAGTCTGGGCTCAGGTCCAACGTAGGAGTTCGTGGGTTCGGGGGCTCAAGCTCAAAGAAGTTACTATAGAGGCCCAAACAAGTACCAATTACTACGCTATATAAATACAGTATGATGGGCCCCAAAACCCGATTCCAACTTTTAAGTGCCCTATACTATAGGCTTCCGGCATCGCATTCGAAACTCTCAGTGCTGCTGCCGATGCATGGCGCTGGGCCGGCTGTCGGAAGAGCAGTACCGCCAGTCGTGCCAGCCAGTTTGGACTCTTCTGGCATTCTCAAGTTACACTCAACCCCAAAACCTACTATGCAAAACCCCAAAGCCTAAGCCTGTAAACTCCTGAATCAGAAGCCCATATTGATCAGGTTTTGAGGGTCACATCTAGTGTGTTGTTTTCAGAACCGGTCAGGTTTGTGTAGATCGTCTAGAACCTCACAGCATTCGCTTGGCCGTTTCGTGTATCACAATAGCCCCAACGGTCATAGGTATTGTTATGGGGGATACTTCCCCAAATCGTAATTCCCAATTCCTAATACAGAAACCCTACATACATTCTTCTATATAGCTGCTTAGGACCCAGAGAACCCAATATCCCTTAACTAAGGAATATGACTTAAATTATATAGGGCTTCATATTTTGATGTAGGCTATATTCCTTAATTAAGGGGTATTGGAGCCCTAAACCCTAAACCCTATAGATCCCTGATAGATCCCTTAAAGGAACCCTAGGTATTCCTTAATTAAGGGGTATTGGGCTCTCTGGGGACCCTTTGGGTAGGAGCCTGAAGGGTTTGCGGGTCAGGGTTCAGGGAGTTTAAGGCTTGAGTAGTTACCATCTGCACGGTTTAGGGTTTAGGGTTTCTGTATAGGGTTTAGGTTTAGGGTTTAGGTTTAGGGTTTAGGGTTTCTGTATAGGGTTTAGGTTTAGGGTTTAGGTTTAGGGTTTAGGGTTTCTGTATAGGGTTTAGGTTTAGGGTTTAGGTTTAGGGTTTAGGGTTCTGTATAGGGTTTAGGTTTAGGGTTTAGGTTTAGGGTTTAGGGTTTCTGTATAGGGTTTAGGTTTAGGGTTTAGGTTTAGGGTTTAGGTTTAGGGTTTAGGTTTAGGGTTTAGGTTTAGGGTTTAGGGTTTCTGTATAGGGTTTAGGTTTAGGGTTTCTGTATAGGGTTTAGGTTTAGGGTTTAGGGTTTCTGTATAGGGTTTAGGTTTAGGGTTTAGGGTTTCTGTATAGGGTTTAGGTTTAGGGTTTAGGTTTAGGGTTTAGGGTTTCTGTATAGGGTTTAGGTTTAGGGTTTAGGTTTAGGGTTTAGGGTTTCTGTATAGGGTTTAGGTTTAGGGTTTAGGTTTAGGGTTTAGGGTTTCTGTATAGGGTTTAGGTTTAGGGTTTAGGTTTAGGGTTTAGGGTTTCTGTATAGGGTTTAGGTTTAGGGTTTAGGTTTAGGGTTTAGGGTTTCTGTATAGGGTTTAGGTTTAGGGTTTAGGTTTAGGGTTTAGGGTTTCTGTATAGGGTTTAGGTTTAGGGTTTAGGTTTAGGGTTTAGGGTTTCTGTATAGGGTTTAGGTTTAGGGTTTAGGTTTAGGGTTTAGGGTTTCTGTATAGGGTTTATGTTTAGGGTTTAGGTTTAGGGTTTAGGGTTTCTGTATAGGGTTTAGGTTTAGGGTTTAGGTTTAGGGTTTAGGGTTTCTGTATAGGGTTTAGGTTTAGGGTTTAGGTTTAGGGTTTAGGGTTTCTGTATAGGGTTTAGGTTTAGGGTTTAGGTTAAGGGTTTAGGGTCATCTACTATTATTAGCAGCCTTGCCAAGTCCCGAATAACAGGTATGGCACAGAGATCATTCCGGGCTTCCTCTTCCTCACCAGCCAATTCGAGGTATCGCCTTGCTGGAGCTGTCGTTCACACCAACTTCTGCTGCCTAGCACTTTCGGGTTCAGGGTGTGGGATGTAGGGTTTAATATAGGTTCCTAAGTAGTTACCTACACGCTATAGTATAATATACCCCCAAAACAGTATTCTGATTGCTAAGGCCTCTAGAGTAGGGTCCTACTTTCGGGATCTTTCGGGGTTCGTCATCAGCAGCCTTCACCTGACACGAAGCCCAAGAGTCAGACCCACCCTGAGGGTGCGTGATGAGAGCTAAGGTAGAGGCAGAAATAAATACCAGTACTATTCTCAGGGTTCCTTGTTATAGACATAGCATAATGTGCGTCAACAATGCCAACCAAACACAGTCCCGTGCGGCCGCACGAAGCCCATCAAGTCTAAGTCGTGATAATATGTTCTACAGAGCATGTAAACAACAATCGTCGAGTCCAGAACATCTCGAAGCCTAAACCCGACAGACTTCTAGGACCTAGAGTAGGTCTTTATTCCCTTTTTATGGGCTCAGGTTCCCTTATAATAAGCACTTTTAAACCAAAAAGGGTACCCTTGTTATTCCTAGGTTACTTGACTTTTGGGTCTAGACTTTCTTAACCTGCAAACCTTTGAGGACAAAGCCCTGATCTCGGATACCCGCTGGCAGGCCAAAGATCCCGCCTTTCTCAAAGAGCATGGCATCACGCCACTTGGTGTGCATCGATGGATGGTTCATAAGGTCTTGTTGGCTGTAAAATCATTTTTTCAAGAATTGGGGTTCTTATAAGGTAGTCGGTTCTGAAAGTTTCAACTTGTATTTCGGGCCAGTGAGAAGCCAGCCCTTTCATCGGCATGTTTCAACAGACTGTTGCAGCAGGCACCTCGTCAGCGTGGCTGAGGCGGGCACCGCATTTTGACGGGTGGAGGGGGGGAGGCTTGCAACAGCCAACTCGGAGAAATGCGACCTGCAGGAGAACGCAGGGTCAGTTGATTTCAGCTCAGGGTTTCGGATGTTCGGGGATTCTTCTGGTAAGTTAAGCTGAGCCTTAACCAAATAACATACCTTTTCAAGGAATCATACAAGAAAATCGAAAACAAGGACCCCCAAGATGTAGGTTCCTCCGGGTCCAGGAATACTTTAGCTAAAGCTGGACGCATTGCCTAAGGTCGAGACTTTTCCGGCCGTCCGGCCTCAACTAGTATAGGGGCCCTCATAATTGCCTATACTGTTTTGGGGGTTCCTCACTAGAATTATAGTATAATAGGCCCCCGAACCCTGTTCTAATTATAAAGGCCCCTATATTACATCGCTTATTCCCACGCCTCGCTACTACGATCCCACTAAGCCACCCAAAAAGCTCACATCCCATTCCTGTTCTGAGCTTCTCGACACCTGGCTCTTTCGGAGATTAGGCCCGCCATGTAGGGCTAACGGTGTGATTTTTTGTTTATGAACATCCAAATCCATGCAGGAAAGCCCGCCTGCAGTGCCGTTGCCGGGTGAGTCTTTGCACTTGGCACTGCGCGATTCTCCTCGAACAGATGCCCCCTGCCTGGAGCAGTCTAGTCATGGTTCGGCATAATTAGCAATGCATTTCCTTAAAGTTCTTCTTCAATTATGTTTAAGCAATAGTTAGCAATAGGCCACCCAAAACCCAAAGCTCTATAAGGCAATCGTAGTAGGAGCCCGACTCCCCTAAACCTGAAACCCTTAACAAAGGAGGCCTTAAATACAGGAACCCCTGAAAGAATCCTAAGTTCGGGCAGCTGAGCTAAGCTTGGTACAATTCAATAGTTTCAGGCGCGTGTGATTGCAATCTCCACACGGGCTTGCTAGAACATGGGCACCCCTCGTTTAAGGTTCCAACAGTAATTAGAAGCCAGAAAGTTGGAACATCATTCACCTCATGCCCTCAAGGTAAAGTGAAGGCGACCCGAGCACTATTCATCTTAAACCTATGTTCCAACTTTCTGGGGCTCGGTATATATCCTACTCTTTACGGCCTTTGGGGTGTCAGGCATATTTTCAGGCTTGGGTTTGCCTTAGCCACAAATAGCCTGCTTCTTTTAGGACTTACACAAGGAAGTTTCTTTACAACGCCCTAAAAAGATAGCTGTTGTAGGGTCCAGGTAGGGTCCACACAGATTCGATGTTTGCGCAAAGTATAAGTTTGGGGTAGGGTTTCGGTTAAAGGGTTTAGGGCTTAGGGGATCTCCTGATTGTCAGGTTCTCTGCCACTTCGACGAAGTGTTTGCCGTCATCGATGCCGCGAAGAGATTCAAGAAGGGGCGGGCGCTCATGCATTGCCACGTGCCTGAGCTCATTCCATACACACGCTGTGGTCGATGAGGGGCTAGACCTAAACCCTAAACCCTAAACTACTCGAAATCCGTAGCTATAAACCCTACACCCCGAACAAACCCCGAAACCACCTAAAACCGCTAAACTTTAGAGGCATTGGGTTTGGAGCCTCATGCATGAGAGCCCAGAGACTCCAATATCCCACAATTAAGGAATATGCCTTAAATGATAATTTTCGGATCCCTAATAGAGGTTGTGAGTTGCGAACCCCGGAACGAAAGATCCTCCAAATTCTGGAGCCTGAACCTACCGGGTCCAAGCAGAAAGCAATATCGCAGTTTCCCAAAATAGGGGAGCCTAATATCGGGACCCTAAGTAGTAGGATCCTTGTTACAGAGACACCAAACTAAGGTACCCCTAATTTTCGGAAACTCCCATGTAGTACCTGGAGATCCGAAAGCCTATTGTTTTGGGGGTCAGACCCTGTAATTAAGGGGTCATAGTATCCTACTATTTTTGTAGGGTTTGGGGATACAGGTGGGGTTTACTTGGAGGTCGGGGACTTAGTAAAGCAAGTATGCAATATGTAAAGTTGTATGTACTCTATAATTCATGGTCCTAATTCGGTTTATGATACTTATAAGTCTTTAAAATCCGTAGTTACAAAGGCCGCCGTTGCTTCTGCTGGTCATGTGAATAACATTAGTGGTAGAATTTGGTATATCCCATTATAAGATACTGTGACATGATATATAGCATAACATGAGATAACGCAATACAGCAGGATAGACTTGGAGGGGCAGGGACTTAGTAAGTAGGGTTACAAGTAGGGTTATAATTGGAGTAGCTCCATTTAGGGTACTTATAACCCTACTTATAACCCTGCTTACTACGTCCCCTGCCCCTCCAAGTAGTATTATAGAGTCAGAAGTAGAAGCTGCATCAGATAGTCATAAGATCGCCTGCAGCTCCAGCAAAGCTATGCAGTTCAGGAAGATTGCAGATGGCTTACAGTAGGGCTCTAAGGACTCATAAATTAAGGCTTCTTTCGGTACCTAGTTCCTTTAAACGGATTATATGGTGTACGGCTCGAAGGACTCATGCATTAAGGACTTTAGGCCGAAGAACCATACTATATCAGGCTCTTGGGCTATTTGGATCCCCAGGGTTACAGTACAAGCCACAGAGTTGGAACATGGATCAAGGATGATCGGTGCTGGAATTCCTTAAACTTTACCTTGAAGACATGAGGATAAGGATGTTTCAACTTCCTGGCTTCTACTTCAGATGGTTTCACTTGCAACTGCCGAGACGTGCTTGTGCCCCGACTGCGAGAGACTGCAACTGCATCCCAGGCTATGAAGGCAAGAACAGGCGCAGTCTGCACCCCTGCATGGAGACGCATTGAACTCTTCCTAAGGTGAGGGGGCTGGGTTCGGAGGCCTCAGCAGGTGGGATGAAGGTAGGCAGGAGCAAGGATCCTTTATTAAAGGACTTTTATTCGGGAATATCCCACCTACCTTCATCCCACCTTTTGAGGCCTCCGATGGGTTGACGACTACACACCTGTGAGGTTTGAGGGTTTAGGGGTCGACTTAGTGCTGCTAAGTTTGCGAACCCGAAGCCCTAAACATTGAACCTTAAACCTTACTTGAAGGGGCAGGGGACTTAGTAAGTAGGGTTATGAGTAGGGTTATAATTGAGGTAAGTCTATTTAGGGTACTTTTAGCTCTACTTATAACCATACTTACTAAGTCCCCTGCCCCTCCAAGTAAACCCTAAACCCCAATTGCATGCGTTTGTGTCTGAGCTCTTGGCAGGCCGCTAGCTGAAGTAGCAAGCAGTATCGGGCTTTCAGCAGGCTCGATGCGTTCCAGCCGAAGCCGACGGCGCACAGTTAATGGTAGGTATACATAATTTGTTCTTTTCTATTGTAAGATCATCCAGTAAGATATACAGACATAACACAACGCAAGATCGTAGAATAGAGTCATCCCAGAGCCAAAATCCAAGTCCGAAACCATCAGCCCTGAACAACAGAATCTACTTTACAGGGGTTTATCAAGGTTTCTATGCCGTTACAGGATTTGTAAGGGTTCTTGACGCCTAGATGAGCCAGAAAGCCTTAAGCCTAAACCCTGAACCCTAAACCCCAAATCCCCAAGACGCTGCACCCTAAACCCCAAAGCCTAAACTCTGCACCCTAAACCCCAAGCCCATATAGATCTCTCATATAAAGGAACCCTTAAGGATCCCTTACTATAGATCCCTTTAAAGGAACCCTTAAGGATCCCTTATAGATCCCTTTAAAGGAACCCTAAACTCTAAACCCGAAAACCCTGAAAGTCTCCAGTCCACACCCGTAACCCGAAGGCCCAGGAGCCGAAGGCACTCCAAGCATTGGGGATCCTTACTTGGAGGATCATGGGACTTAGTAAGTATGGTTATAAGTCCCTTAATTGGGGTTATAAGTAAATATAAGTATAGTTACCCGGATAATAACCCTAGTTGCTAAGTCCCACGATCCTTCAAGTAAGGGTTCCTGTAAGGGATCTATTTGGTTTAGGGGTTCAGTGTTTAGAGTTTAGGGTTTGGGGTTTAGGGTGCAGAGTTTAGGGTTTAGGGTTTAGGGTTTCCTTTAAAACGGATCTATAAGGGGTCCTTTAAAGGGGGTTTAGGGTGTAGGGTTAAGCCCCGAACCTACAACCTGAAAACTCCAAGTAACATACGGTTGATGATATAACCTTAAACTATGGGAATTATGGTATACTCCTAGGGATCTATGGGATTTAGGGTTTAAGGGTCTACTTGGAGGGGCAGGGGACACAGTAAGTAGGGATATAAGTAGGGTTATAATTGGGGTAACTCCATTTAGGGCAGGGTACTTATAACTCTACCTATAACCTACTTACTAAGTCCCCTGCCCCTCTAAGTAAAGCCTGAAGGCTCCAAGTAACATAGGGGCCTTCATAATTAGAATAGGGCTCCTTGAGAGGGGTCCATTGTAGGGGTGTTATAATAGGGTTCTATATTTTATGGCCCTCAATAATTAGAATAGGGTTTTGTGGCCCATTATACTAGAATTTTATGATAACCCCAAAAATAGATAAGCATTCAGGCCCCTATCTTGCCTAAATAGTGGGGCTGTAGGGCCCAAATGCTTACTATACTGGGAATGGTTTCGGCACTTGATGCCCTACTATTTGGGTCCCTCTGGGAAACCGTCAAGCCCCACACCTTACAAATTACAAACCCCCTTAAACTTTAAACCCTAAACCCTAAACTCTAAACTCTATAGGCCTTATGGAGGCTCAGACGATTGGGCAGCCGTAAAAAGGAGCTCCAAAAAAATTCTAAACCTGCACCTTAAAACCCCCCTAAACCCTAAACTCTAAACCCTAAACCCCAAACCCTAAGCCCTACCCTAAACTCTAAATTCGAAACCTTCATTTCGGGTCAGGAGCGCTGTCTTCGTGATCGCATACTGCATGAGAGAGGCTCCTGTTGCCGATGGGTGTCCCCAGAGAGCCCAATACCCCTTAATTAAGGAATAAACCTTAAATTATAGTAGGACCCATAATATGGTTTAAGGAATAATTCCCTAATTAAGGGGTATTGGAGTCTCTGGGTGTCTCGGGCTTGCAGGGTTTAGGGGTGTGGGGCTTAGGGCTTACGGTTCAGGGCTTATGGAGGGCTAGGGTCCAGTGTTTAGGGTTTATGGGTTTAGGGAGGATGTAGGTGTCAGTAGACAAGGACCAAGAGCACCAACACCGAAATGCAAACAACAAATGTCTTGATGACAGAAGTGCTGGAGCCGCTGGAACAACACCAAGCCCTAAACCCTAAGTAGGTGAAGGTACGTTGGGTAATCCCCAAAAGAATCCTTCTGTAAAGGATCACTTTGAGCCCTAAGTAGATCAGGTTCTCTAGGATGCCCAGTACTACCCTTATTCCCTTTTTGTAGTCCTAGGTTCCTTATTAAGATACCCAATACCAAAAAGGGAGCCCTGTTTATTCCTAGGTTACTGGGCATCCTAGTCTTTAACCCTTCGCATAAAGATGGAGGTCGCCAGTCCCACTCGCGTAGCTCAGCCCCGAGAGCCCAATACCCCTTAATTAAGGAGTATGGCTTAAATCATAATATGAAGCCCTTTCTAGTTTAAGCCATATTCCTTAATTAGGGGGTATTGGGCTCTCTGGGAGTACTGCTGACAACAAGCTGTGACCGTTGTTGTCGTTGCTATTCTCATAAGGCCATAGGGACCCTTAGGGGGGTAGGGGGAGGCCGGGTAGGGGGGCCTTAAAAAATGAGTACCTAATAATAAGGCAATAAGGCCTGTGATATTCAGATTCTGATCATCATTATCGGCGTTTGTTTGCCAAAGGGTGCCTCTTGCCCTAAACCCCAAGCCGAAAGTCCAGAACCTTGAGTCTAGAAAGCCTGAAACTCCTGACGGTCATGAAGCCTCAACACCGAATCCTGCGCTACGCCACTGCGCCTGTTCGCGCACTTCTGGTAGGGAAGCCCAACATAGGGGCCTTAAAAATTAGAATATGGTTTTGGTGTTATTAAAGTCAAGGGCTGCGCCGGTGTAGGGTTGAGGGTTTGGGGGGTTTAGGGTTTAGGGGTTTAGGGTTTAGGGGTTTAGGGTTTAGGGTTGAGGGTTTGGGGGTTGAGCGCCAGGAGAAGATGACGTTGAAAGCGGCGTTTGAGCACGTGAAGACGATCCGCTCTCTCATCGATCCGACGCGTGGCGCTACTTAAAGGATCATGGGACTTAGCAACTATAGAGTTATTATTGGGGTGCCTATACTTATGATTACTTATAACCCCAAGAAAGGTACTTATGACCATACATAGTAAGTCCCATGATCCTCCAAGTGCAGGATATGGTTGCAGGGTGCGTGGTGTGGGGGGAGTGGGCAGTGGTCAGTGGTGTTTGCGATACAGACTTGAGACAAAGCAGCACTGAAGCAGAAGAAGAACGGTCTCTGTTGTAAGTGTTTGTTTTAGTTCTCCCCCGTCGGGTTTTCCAGTGTACAAGTTGTTGTCGGACTTTGGATTGTGGAGTTAATGATGCTGCTGTTGGTTGCCGGCAATTGTGAGTGTGGTCTACGGTTGCCGGACTCTCGCAGATGGCTGCTTCGTTTTTGTTGGAGGGAAGGGCTGAGAGGACACACTTGCAGCAAGAAATCCTATGCGAGTTTCCGAAAATTCGGGGTACCTTCTTATTTCGGGGTCCGCATAAGAAGGGATCCAAGTAGTTTGTGTACTATACTAACCCAAAAAGCACAGAAGCATAAGCATTTTATGGGGATATCCCTACCATATTGGGCTTCATTATGAGGGGGTTTATATGGGATATCCCTATGCTAATTTTTGCTTATGTGCTTTTTTGGGGTCCTCTTCTGGGGTCCCCCATTTTCGGAAACTCCCCTATCATGCCTCAGAGAAGCTTCGAGAACTGCAAGGCAGGCTTCCACCTAGATTACATTTTAGGGTTTAGGGCTTCAGGGTTTAGGGGTTTAGGGCATTTTAGGGTTTAGGGCATTTTAGGGTTTAGGGCTTTAGGGTTTAGGGCTTCAGGGTTTAGGGTTTGGGGCTTCAGGGTTTAGGGCTTTAGGGTTTAGGGCTTCAGGGTTTAGGGCTTTAGGGTTTAAGGCTTTAGGGTTTAGGGCTTCAGGGTTTAGGGCTTTAGGGTTTAGGGCTTTAGGGCTTTAGGTTTTAGGGCTTTAGGCTTTAGGGTTTAGGGTTTAGGGGTAGCAGATCAATCCGAACCCCTCAACTCCATATCTCAACGGCCTGAACCTGAAGCTCTGGACCCCGATCCTTCTCAGCCCCATACCCATACCCCAGACCCCCTATGAAGCCTATCGCCTTTAAGCCAAAGAGCCCTAGGAACGTGGGCTTCATGAAGCAGCTCAGAGACTATGAGGCTTGCATGTTTCCTCGTGAGTGGGGGAGCGGGGGCTTAGCATAGCCTGAATGATGACCACTGTTTCTCAGAGTTCTGACTATCATTCTTAGGGTTTAGGGATTTGAGTTAGACCCCAACCCCTGTTCCAGTTGTTTCCTGTGGGCAGCCGGCTGGGCCGACCCCCACCTCACTGGCTGGACCGGTCTCCAAAGCGGCTGCGGAAAGCAGACTGAACTGCTTGCCCGGAGAGCCCAATACCCCTTAATTAAGGAATATGGCTTAAACTAGAAAGGGCTTCATATTATGATTTAAGCCATATTCCTTAATTAAGGGGTATTGGGCTCTCTGGGTGTTGAGTAGCCAATGGTGCTTCGAAGGTGCCCGGGAGCATAGCGCAGAAACGGCATACGGGTGACGAGGCCGAGATCAGGGCCATGTTCGATTTGGCGAACTTCTGCCAGGACCTCCGATAGCAATAATATTTGAGTCTTTGATATTTATGTGGCTGTTCGCGTACTCTTATCTTGCATGAATCTATTATGTAATCTATGAAAATGTATTATATGGTATATATATATATGTATAAATATGCTAGATTCAGGGTCTGCTAGATCGGGGGGGTCGTTCGAGTTCGTCCGCTGGCTATGAAAGAAGTATATGGACATGTAATCTGCTGGGCTTGCATGTGCAAATTCCCATATGCCATACCCTGAACCCGGTTTGTGTACAGGGTCTTGCCCCATAGCTTGGGTTAGTCTGAATTTTACCTTTAGGATAATCACACGATATATCCATAATCGTGACTAATAGTCAAAACTCAATTAAGGATATATATCCTCGTTGATATCCAAAATCCCACGTTGATAATAGTCAAAATCCTACGATTTAGTCTTGTCGGTCATCTCCAAAATCCTAGGAATTATCCTCGTTGTTTTGGGGTTTCAAGATCTCCAAAATCGATATCCAGAATCCTACGAATTCTGGATATGGCCCGGGGCCCAAACTTCGACGAAGTTTCGTTCTAAGCTTCGTCACAAACTTCGTCGGCGGTTTTGTGATTCTCGATCATGCAAAACAGGTACAAATACATGCAATGTATGTATATAGATATATATATATATATATATGCACAACATAAACAAATGCATATAACCATCGATACATATGTATGTATATATATATATATATATATATTTATTTTGTTACATATTTACAACTCTTTTATATGTACAAAAAAGCACACGAAAGGCAGCCCAAACCCCGACTCAAACTTCGACCCAAACTTCGTCACCTAGCCCCGGCAGACAGCGACACCAGGCAACGAAGTTCGGTCGAAGTTTCGACCAAACTTCGGCGCTAGAGCTGTGCCTAAAAGCTGCGATTATGGATATGATATCCTTAATCGTAGCTTTTAGTCAAGTGGACAATATCCATAATCACAGCTTTTAGGGACACAAAACATTAAGGATATTTTGTACCGCCCAACGAGACTATATATCCATAAATGAGTTTTGACTAATAGTTAAAATCTTCCCGACGGCAAGATCGTAACTAATAGTCACAATTAAGCCTAACTCAAGCTATGGGGTGTGACGTGTCCGCTCTTACCTGGATGCGTTGGCAGCGCTTTTGGCAACCTGCAAGCCCAAAAGCTATAACAATATAGCCACCATATATACACCTTCAACCTTACAGACAACCCCATACAACCCCCCAAAACCCTAAACCCCCTAAACACCTTAAGCCCCCCTGGAAACCCTAAACCCCTAACCCTAAATCCCTTGACCCCCCAAACCCTGACGCCGCAATACTCCTTTTAGCCCTTACAGCCGCCAGGGCTCCTGAAGCCTTATACATTTCTCGTGCTCCAGCACCCATAAAGCCTTAAGCGCTTTAGGAAAGTGGGTTTGGAGTTGAGGGGTTCATTTAGGGTTTAGGGTTTATAGGATGTAGGGTTTAGGGTTTCAGCAGTCCGAAAGCCCAAGCAACAAACACAGGTGGGTCTTCTCAGCACCCTGCCCTAAAGACCTAGTATAAGAACCTGATTAAGGAACCCTGACCATAAAAGCTCGGTATAACATTATATAAAACAATCAAAATGAAAGAACCAAGGTTTCTGAAGCAGGTTCCTATATCAAACCCTAAACCTCCTGAGGTGGAGCTGCTCGGTGAAGATTCCGCTGTCTCCTTGCCGTTGTCGCCAGAGGCCAGGGCAAACTTCCTGGGTTGAGGGTATAGGTACACCTAGTAGCAGAGTAGGTAACCTTTAACCTTTTTGGGGTAGTATAGTCCCTATATAATACCTATATACCCAAAAAGGTTAACCCTTAGTTCCCCATGATGCCCGACAAGTAGGTTTAAGGGTTCGGTTTAAAGGTTTGAGATTTCTGAATTGGGGGTTTAAGGGTTGAGGACATATGGGTTGGGATTTATGGGGTTATGGTTTAATATTCAGGTTTAAGGGCTTCGGATGTGGGCAGCTGTGGCAAGACGATTCGTTTCATGCTCTCTGAAATTAAATGCTAGGTAGGGCTTTGGGACAGTTTCGACTTTCCTTCATTGGGATTCAGAGGATTTTTTGCCAATATTTTTCAAAGGCTCTAAAAGCCCCACCTAGAATGGCGATGACGTCGTCTGGCCACATCGGTCAGACAAGCTTGGAACCACCTGAAGAGAACTCAGAGACTGCAGAACCCCTGGATCGAGGAACAACGCCTAGATTAAAGTCTACTCATTCCAATTACCAGACATGGATGCCCTGTATTGTCATTATAGTAGGAACCCTAGTTGTGCGAAAATCAGGTACATTCCTTAGTAAGCCGAGTTTGGAGTCTGTGGGAATGCATAGTTCTTTGTAGAAGACTACCGCAAAGGACGCTATTCATCGACCGAGCCCATCGTATCCCCAAGCCCCAAACCCTAAAGCCAAACCCCCCGTAACCCCAATCCCTTAAGCCTAAGGCCCCTAACCCTCAGCGCCAAATGATTATCAAACCGAGCGGTGCCTTGCAAGGGTAAATACCACGGGGCTCTGAAATGGCGTTTTAGGGGTTGGGCTCTTCTTACCCAGAGACTCCAAATTCCGTGAATTAAGGAATGCGCCTTAAATTTTATTAGGGTTCCCTATTGTAATTTAAGGTCTACTCGTCAATTAAGAGGTTCGGGAGTCTCTGCTTAAAATGTTCATGGCAGGACTGCCGCGACTTGCTGGACATGGAGCTGTACCCTGCCAGCCAGAGCGACCGCTAAAGATCACGGGGATGGTGCAGGGTCAAGGGAGCCTAAAAGTAACCCCAAGGGTCCAAGTACCTTATAATCATATACTCTCCAAGATCCTAAGTTACATGCCTATTATCCAAAAACCGAGTACCCAATTATTTGGTTCGTTTTGGACCCTTGGTGTAATGTAGGTCTTTAATACGTTAGAATAGGATTTTGGGGTCTGCTACGGTGTACATACACGAAGGAAGCCTCCGGTTAGCTTAGATGGGGACCATAATGTCTTGAGTTAACGCTGCCCGAAACCACGCCCTAAAAATCCTTATGCAATACTTCGGAACAGCTCTCCATGTCGTCTTGGGATGTAGATACCCTAAACCTCTAAAGCCTAAACCCTATACCCAAAACCCAAGAGACCCTCAACCTGTCTATACCCTAAGCCCCATGCCCCAAACCCTACACCATAAGCCACCCTCAACCCTACACCCCTAATTAAACCTTGTCCGTTGATATAAGCCCTAAACCCTATGCACTAAGCCCGAAGCCTCACACTCCTGAAGCCTAAACCTTCGTGGCCCCCCAACTTTTCAGCTTTTCGGGCTCTTCTAGGGTAGTCTTGATGGAAGTTTGCAACTTTTCCCCTCCATAGGCCCAGTATAGGTATTTGGGAAGCCCTAAATCCTAAACTCTATACATTCTGAACCCTAAAACCCTGAACCTTATAAACCGTCTTATAAACATAGATCCCTTATAGTAGCCCTTATAGACCCCTTTAGAGGAACCCCCAAGCGAAGTGAGCCTCCGAGGATCTCCCCCGAGCAGCTGGGCAGGTACGCGGCGGAGCAGGACATGGAGCCCCAAGCTCAGCGCAGCACTTCTTTGAGTTTAGGGGTTTTGGGTTTAGGGGTTTAGGGGTTAATTAGGGGTTTAGGGGTCTAGGGTTTAGGGTTTTAGGGTTTAGGGTCTAGGGGTTTAGGGCTTTAGGCTTTAGGGTCTAGGGGTTTAGGGCTTTAGGGTTAAGGGGTTTAGGGTTCAGGGGTTTAGGGTTTAGGGGTTTAAGGGCTTCACCTCAACCCCCCAGACAAGAAAGCAGAATCATAGCCCCAAGCCTATCAGGATTTGGGCTGTGAGTTGGCAGTGAGACTCTTGGAGCTGGCCTAAACCCCCCAGAAGGAATCAAAGTATCAAAAAAGCTTTTTTAGTACATATATATATATATACATATATAGTATGGTCTTTGTGCCCAAAAGCTTCATTTCATGAGTCATTAGATCCCTAGGGTTTAGGGTTTACCCAAAACCTTCCAAGATCCGTTAACTTGGTGTTCTTCTGGTCGGCTCTTACGACGTTAACTTTTTGGGTTTCTATATGAACTATAGTAAGGAGGCTAAGAGTTTCACTTTTCGGAGGGCTCCAGAAGTCAGCCATGTGAAAGTACACCCAAAAAAGTGGGAAACCGGATTAAGGCCAAATAGTGCCGGGATTCCCTGTACACTACTCGTAAGGAGTCTATTGGGTTTCAAACTTCTGGGCTAAGTACTAAGGCCGCTACACTAGAATACTGGACTAACACCTATAAAGGGCGACTAGTCTACATGGGGGAGTTTGCATCGTCGGATCCATGTACCCACATTCTATATACTTTGGCTTTAAAGTAGTCTTTTGTATAGCAGCAAGTTTAGGGCTTAGGATCGGTAAACCTTAATTAAAGCTCCTAACCCTGGGGATCAAAATAGCCCAAAAGCCTTAGAGTCCCAGGGTAAAAACCGAACTTCTAAACTCTGAACCCAGAGAGCCCAATACCCCTTAATTAAGGAATATGGCTTAAATTATATAGGGCTTCATATTATGATTTAAGCCATATTCCTTAATTAAGGGGTATTGGGCTCTCTGGGAACCCGTAAGCTCCAATGGAGCCTCAGAGTCTCCGCGCCCCAAAGGTATGAAGGACGCACTTTGCTCATCCGCAAGCCCGGCACCAGCGCCAAAAAGACGCCGACCTCGGGATCCAAAAACCTACCGTTTCAAGGGTCAGACCCTTTATTAAGGGGTCCTAACCTACTATTTTGTAGGTTTGGGATACAGGGATGGGCTTAAGATTTCCAGCAGAGGTTGGGGTGCGGGGCTACTGGTGTAAGGCTTCAGGAGTTAGTTAACCTTAAGCCCTAAGCATTCCTAATCTCACAGGCTACCCGGAGAACCCGACATGTTGGTACAACTTTCTGGCCCTCATACTGCTGATGGACAAAATCCTGCATGACCCTTAGGACTTAGGACTATAAACTATGGGAGCTATGGTAGTACATTCCTTATAATGGGTATCAACAGTAAGGCCGGTAGAGCATGCCAACGGCAAAGATGGCTCCAGCAGAGACCCACACAAACTTACAGCCCTACTAAGGGCAGGCTAGACTGAGACAGCCCCCTTAAAGGTTCGTTTGAAAGAGCCCTTCAAGGATCCCCTAAAAAAAGGGCCGGATTCCGTTTAAGAGGGCCACCCCATTTCAAGGGTCTTGCCCTTCAGGGTTTGGGTTCAAGATGCTTGAGGCTTTGAGGTCCGGGTTGGCAGGGTTTGAGGGTTTTACGGCTTGCGGGATCTATAGTAGGGTTTAGGGTTCCTTTAAAGGGATCTATGAGGGTTCCTTAAAGGGGGCTATAGTAGGGTTTAGGGTCTGAGGTTCAGGGGTAGTAGGGTTTGGGGTTCAGGTTCGGGGGTTTAGGGTTTAGGGTTGGTCAATCTCCCCGGGTGCCCGGGTCTCCTTGTGAAAAACCGAACAGTCGAAAAGAAGGTGCCCTTACTGTGATTGAGGTTACTGTAGGGGTGTTAGAGGCGCGTCCTCGGGACCCATGCCTACCCAGAAAGAAAGACTGTAGTGGCCTGAATAGTTGCCAAGCCAATCTCATTTCTTAGGGATCCCTGTGATAAAGTATGCTACTTTTTTGTCAGGGCTCCCTGTTAAAACCAAATAGTAGGAAACATGTTACCCTTACTTAAAAGAGGCTAATTACTCAGGAACCTAGCTTCTAATTGTATCAAAGCGGCCTTATTATACAGCTCCTGCAACACATACCGGGAGTTCTTGCTCTCACTTCTGGGGTGCAGTTGCAGAGTGTTGGTTGGGGTTTTAGGGATTTCTGATGTTAGAGTTTGAGTTTCTGTGTTTTGGGTTTTGAATCCGCAGCTATCTGCAACCTGTGCCGCGGCTTTTTAGCTCGATTAGTTATAGTATGTAGCAAAAGAAGATGCAACAGATGCGGCATGACTGCCACTGCATCTCCGATGATGGCGATCTCGCCTACCATATCCGTGTCTTGGGCCGCAGACTGCAGTAGAAGCCGGAAAGTTGGAACAACATTGTCCTCATGCCCTTAAGGTAAAGTATAGGGGATCCTAGCACTAATCCTCCAAAAGCCATGTTCCAACTTTCTGGCTTCTATAAGAGGAAGGACCACAGACTTGGAAACCCAAGCACCCCTAAACCCCAAAGCCCTAAACCCTAAACCCTAAACCGACGCCACAGCTACCTGAGAACCCTAAATCCCTAAATCCCAAAGCCCCCTAAACCCTAAACCCCTAAACCCCTAAACCCAAAACCCTAAACCCTAAACCCCTAAAACCCTAAAGCCCTAAAGCCCTGAAGCCTAAACCCCCCAAAAAAAGAACCCAAAGTTCGAGCGTGCCCACTCCAATGGCAAAGTCTGGTGAAGGGCCTTCAAGCTCGGGCCCAAACCCAAGCAAACCGGGCTTAGGGTATAGAAATATAATAGGGCCCTAATATAACCCTATATAACCCTTATAGTCACTATTACAGGGTGGGGGCAGCTTCTAAGGTATAGGGCATAGGGCTTAGGGTGCCGGGCTTAGGGCTTAGGGTTTAGGGCTCAGGGTTTAGGGTTTAGGGCTTGGCGCTTAGGGTGTAGGGCTTAGGGTTTAGGTTGTAGGGCTTAGGGCTCAGGGATTAGACCCAACATCCTTGTTTAGCAATTCATGCGGTGCTGCTTTGGAGGAGGCGCCAAGTCACATCCAGTTCGGCACCCTGAACCCTAAGGTTTAGGGTTTAGGGTTAAGCCCCCACCAAAAAAGAACCCAAACCGAAAACTCGCTATCAAGGGGAGAATCTGGAGTTGTTGTGGTGGGTTTCGAGCTTCGGGGTTTCAGGCTTTTGGGGTTTAGGGTTTCACGGTTGTTTAGGGGGGGGGGGGGGGGGGGGTTTGGGGCCTTCCGGGTTTTGGAAAGTTTTGGATACTTCTGCGATGAAGGATTTTTAGGTAGTAGCTTTAGTTTCAGGGTTTGAGGGGCCAGGGATATAGTCGGGCCTGTGGGTTTCATGCTATGACGGACTGTTATGAAGAACTAGAATTCAAAGTTTTTGCTATAGAACCCTGAAGACCTTTCAGCGACAACCGCCTTGAGCTCGAATGCCCGAAACCCTAAACGTAACAATGAATGCACTGTAACGAAAGCCTTCCATTGAGACCATGGCAGCAAATCAATCCGACGGATCAGCTGTAAAAAGGGGTCCGAAGAATCACCAGTACTTTTCCGGGAGGCTCCGTTGTGCAATTATGGTAGTATATTACCCCCAAAACCTCACTTAACTATGAAGGCCCTATATTCCCTTTTTGGGTGGGAGGTGTACGGTTTTGGTAGGGTAGGATCTAGAGGTTCGCACTGAGGGTGTGTACCATTTAGACCGTTTTGTCTTTTTGGCATCGTGTTTCTTCGGTGAGAACTTATTACCGTATCTTGAACCCTTGTCGATTTTGCCGCTACTCCGGCAACCCTAAACCCTAAACCGAACAGCTGAAACAGACGTCCACCGTCCTGACCATCGACGACCTACTGCTGGAGCTTGAGCCTGATCTGCTGCGAGGGGCTCCGCTGCACGTTTGCCTCAATAGATGCGGCAGGCCGGATGTGCCGAATGAGGGTTTATGTTAGAGTTTAGGCCTCACGGTGTTATTGAACGCGCCTCTGTTTCGTAGGAACGGTCTTGTTTAGCTTCGTCGAAGCATGTGTTGCTTTTCTGGACTTGCTTGGTAACTCCTATAAACCCGGAGCCCGAGAACCTGAGCCCTATACCATGTGTTCTTCTGAACCATTCGGGCTTTTAGGGCTGTTTCGGAGAGATCCTTGACCAACAGCTCATGGAACGTAGCAGGCGGAAGAATAAGTCAGTAGTTAATAGGAAGTACTTTTCCTGATCTGTTTCTAACTTGACTTAATTGTAATCGTAGCTATTGAACTCGCGCGAGAGTTTTAGGAGTACTGTTTCTTGAGCGCCTCTTTCTTTCAGCGTCGTAGAATATACCCCAATAGAATTCCGTGCTTAAAAACGCGTAACTTTTACGGCCATACCAGGTTGAATGGGTACGCTTTCTACACTTTTTGGGTCATTGTCACCTAGAAACAACTGAAACTTTACACTGTCTTGGGCTTATGAACTGGGCAACTACCGTGGGGAAGCCGGGTTGTTTGAGCTTTGCTTCCCTGGTGGAGGTATTGGGTCCAGGAGAGCGACCAAGATCAGGCGAGTCTCTTCCTCCGAACCCGGAGCCCTACGGTTGATGATATAAATCCTGCATTACCTTAAGGACCCTAAACTATGGGAACTGTGGTATATTCCTTAGTATGGGTCATGCAGGATTCATATCATCAACCGTACCGTTTAAGGGTTTGGGGTTTAATTTTTCTTACTTGGAGGGGCCATGGACTTGGTAAGTAGGGTTATAACTAGGGTTATAATTGGGATAACTCCAGTTAGGGTACTTTTAACTCTACCTATAACCTACTTACTAAGTCCCCTGCCCCTCCAAGTAGGGGTTCCTTTAATTTAAGGATTCCTTTATGGATTTTCAATTTTGGGGCTCCGTTTAAGGCTTCCTTTCAGGGTTTTGGTTTGGGAGTTTAGGGGTTTGGGGGGTTTAGGGTTTTAGGGTAAAGGTCTCAGGGTTGGGGTTTAGAGTTTGGTCCTGAGTCCTATAGACCTCCGACCTCAGAAAAGAGCAACCCCTTGTATGAACCTGTACCCCAAGGGTCCAAAGGACCCACTAATAAGGTCCTCGGTTTTAGGATAGTAGTTATGTAGGTTAGGATTTGGGAGAGTATAGGATTACAAGGTACTTGGACAACCCTAATCCGCCAAGCCCTCAACCCCTAAACCCTGAACCCCTAAACCCTAAACCCCTAAACCCTAAACCCTAAACCGACGCCACACCAACCTGAAAACCCTAAACCCTGAACCCCTAAACCCTAAACCCCTAAACCCTAAACCCTACATGATTATTAGGTACTTGGACCCTTGGGCTTACAAAGTTCCAGAACCCGAAGCCCCAAAAAACACGAGCCTGTTCGCGTTTAGGCTTTAGGGGTTTTGGGGTTCCTTTCACTCACCCAGGGGGTTTAATTAGGGTCTAGGGCTTGACATGTTTAGGGCTTATAGGTCTATAGGGAGAGTAGGGCTCATAAGGTTTGTAGGGTTTAGGGCTTATAGGGCTTATAGGGCTTATAGGGCTCATAGGGCTTATTGGGCTTTTTGGGGGGGTGTATGGGGTGTAGGGTTCAGGGTCCCCTTCCTCGAGGTGAACAGGTTGACTCGGCCAGCCGAGCAGTATCACCATTTTCTTAGCCTCTTGGCTGTTCAGTTCAGAGAAGCTTTTCCTGGAACCCCAAAACCATAGTGCAAGGAAGAAGCGATAGTGGGAACACCTCGGAGTTACTTTAGGGTCTATTCCACAACTAAGGGGTTTGGAAGTCTGAAAGTCCTGTCCAAGGTTTCTCGGAGGGTTTGGCCGACTATTAATAGCGAGTGATTTAAGGCATTGGTTCTTAAGAGTTCGCGGAAAAAGTCGACGGTTTTGGGTTCCTTCCTGTGTTTCAAAGCCCCTGAATTTCTCTCTCCTGTAGCTTGCAGCTAGAGACTCTGGTTTCTCTCGTTGGGGTTCAGAGATTACCGCTCGGGGTTGCCATTCTCCGCTTGTTCTTTGATGCAAACCTGAAGACCCTTAAATCGTAAACCCCGACCATGCTGCCGCTCACCGAACCTGCCGTTGAAGATGTATTTCTGCGCTGCCTTGCGCAACTGTGCGTCAGGACATCCCGCAGCCTACGAAATCGGAGTTAATTCCTTGGCTTTACCCTGGGGGTCAAAATGGCCCAAAAGCCTTATATAGTATGGTCTTTGGGCCCAAAAGCCTTAATACATGAGTCCTTAGATCCCTAGGGTTAGAGTCTTAAGAGTTTACGGCTTAGGTTTCGCATTTCCGGATTAGGCCTACGGTTTAGGGATCAGGGCTTAGTGTTAGGTTTAAGGTTCAGGGCCTACTTAAAGGATCATGGGACTTAGTAACTAGGGTCATTATTGGGGTAACTGTACTTATATCTACTTATAACCCCATTAAGGGGCTTATAACCTTACTTACTAAGCCCCATGATCCTCCAAGAAGGGACCCGGTAGTTCGAGTCGGGGTAAACGACTGGGTTCTTGTTACGGAATTGAGTTCAAGTTGCCATAATCGGGATCTATAGGGGGGCCTTGAAGGGCTCTCTATACGGCCATCTAAAAGGGTTCCATTAAGGGTTTAGGGTTTAAGTTACCATGATAGGGATCCATACGGAATGATTATGGCTTCCTTCCCAGAGAGGCCAATACCCCTTAATTAAGGAATATAGCTTAAATCATAATATGAAGCCGACTTGAGGTATACGGTAGTGGAAGGTTGGGCATTTGGGGGACCGTCGGAGGGCGGCCCTTTCGTGGGCCCTTGCGGTGAACTCGTGAAGCCTGGTAGCTGAAACGGAACCCCCTCATCCCGGTTTAGGGTTTAGGGTTAACCCAAATCCCAAGCCCTAAACCCTAAACCCAAATCCCAAGCCCCACAAACTAAACCCTAAACCGCAAATCCCAAGCCCTACAAACTAAACCCTAAACCCTAAACTCAAAGTCCCTGAACCCCATAGTTGACTCTGCACACCCTAACCTCAAGAGCCGCCTATCCGAATCAAACCACAGAAACCCCACTGCCGAACCCCGATGGCTGGGTTGACGTGAAGGAGTTTAATTTGAGTTACCATAGTCAGGAAACCATATTATTATTTGGTATAGAGCGATATAATTAAGTATGGTAACTTAAGTTAAGTTCCTTAACAAAACCCAGAGAAGAGTAACAGGATGCCTACTTGCAGGGACCCCGATCCCGAAGTAAGACCGTCTAGCCACAGACCCGGTTTAGGGTGCAGGGTTTAGGGTGTAGGGTTCTGGGTGTTTGGGGTTTAAGGTCTAGGGTGTAGGGTGTGGGGCCTAGCGCTTAAAACTCGAATGTCACGACGGGCGGCCCCTACGCCTGAAACCCGAAGCCCTAGAAGCCCTGTAGACCCACGATCCTCAGGTTTGATGTACCTAATTCGTATATACTCAGACAGGCCATAAAGGGGTCCTTATATTGGCATATTAAGGCCTAAGTATAACCGAGGTAGAAGGAGCCTAGCACCAGAATTGAAATCCTTTAGACCTTCTAAGTGCTATGTACCCTAAAGCCAAGGTCATGACTGCGGCCCAACCAGAAACCCTACAAACCTCGACACCCTATAGACCCTGTAATTCCAAACCCTGCAAGCCCCATAAAAACCGTAAGCCCTAAACCCTGAACATTACAAACCCCAAGCCCCAAATCCTGAAACCCTAAACCCAAAGCCCCAAAACCCTATTACTAAACCCTACTTGGAGGACCAGGGGACTTAGTAAGTAAGTTACAAGTAGGGTTATAATTGGTGTAACTCCATTTAGGGTACTTATAGCTCTACTTATAACCTACTTACTATGTCCCCTGCCCCTCCAAGTATACACCCTAAGAAGCCAAGGTCATGACTGGGGGACGAGTGCTTGGTTGAAGTACGTCTCCCTACTCATCTACTACAACTCCGGTGCTGCCACGCTGGCCACGATCCTGGTCAGCGCAGCACTGGGTGTTGCCGTTGCCTGTGACTTCGAACTCAACCGTTGGATGTCAGTTTTTTGTGTTTTAAGGGCTTGGGTTTGGGGTTTAGGGCTGTTGGCTCTAATTACTAAAGAGGGTTGCAGGGTTTGGCGATTCGCTCAGGGTTGCTTTTCAGGATTTCGTGTTGCGGGTCCTTGTAGGACCTTGAGTTTAAGGGTTTAGAGTTCAGTTTCGGATAGAGGCTATCTCGAGTTCGGTCTCGGAGTAGATTGAGGTTTATAGGAAACTCCAGAAAGTTGGAATATGGCTTCATGGTAGGATCCCCTATAATTTACCATAGAAGGGTTAGGATAATCATATTCCAACTTTCTGGCTTTTACCTTATAGGCTTGGGTAGCGGCTGGGCTTAGTTCCGGGTGGACTCTCGGGTTCGGGATTGAGGCTTGTAGCGTAGTCACCTTCACATTCAGAATTGGGTCTTGGTGCAAACTATACTAAAACTACAAGGAGCACCCCTAAGGACTGGTAATATAGGAGTCTGATTAGGGAACCTTGGGTCTTTATTAGGGCTCCTCATATGGATCATACTATTTTGGTGTTTTTGGCCCAGGGTTTCTTAATCAGGTTCCTACAGTCTTGAGTATTGGTAATCATTCCGACCCCTACATTACCCTAGTGATCTAAGGACTCATACTGCTGACGGACAAAATCCTGCATAACCCATTATAAGGAATATACCATAGTTCCCATAGCTTAGAGTCCTTAGGGTCATGCAGGATTTTGTCCATCAGTCGCATATTAAGGCATTTTTGGGCAAAAAAAGACCATGCGATAGAAGGCTTTTGGGCTACTTGCATGCCCAGGATTAGCAGTTCTGACATGATGAAACATTAAGCTCAAGGCCCCCCCAAAAGGCCTGTGGTGTGCCTGGACTCTATAACTTTCTGGCTGTAAACTCAACTTTTCAACTTTTGGGGCTCTTATAAGGTAGTCGGTTCTGAAAGTTTCAACTTTTATTTCCGTGGGTTTTGGGCCAGTGAGATAAGGGCTACTTTAAGGGATCTATAGGGGTACTAATAGGGCTTATTTGTAGGGGCCTTAAGCCTGGACCTGGTTTAGGGTTGCAAGTCAGGGTCCTCCCAACTAATGTAGTGGCCTTAGTAATTCGGCTGATGATATAAATCCTGCATTACCCATAATAGGGACTATACCATAATTCCCATAGTTTACAGTCTTTAGGGTCATGCAGGATTTATATCATCCACCGTTAGAATACTTAGCAGCTGAGTGGATACACTTTACACTTTTTTGGGATAATACTACCCACTATAAAACTGAAAGTGTACGCTTTTTGGGGCTTGTGAACTCAGCAACTAAGAATAGGGGTTTCGGGGCCCATTATACTATAATTGCGATGAGAAACCCCCCAAGTAGTATGGGTACTATTTTCGGCTTCTAGTTAGCGCAGATCTCTTGCAAGAGCCTTTGCTATGCTTCCTTTGAGACTTAGGTGACGTCCTACCGGAGGTGGCGTGGATGCCCGTGTTTGGAGACTTGGTGTTTGGAATTTAGGGTTTAGGGGTTTAGGTTTGGGGACTTTGGGGATTTGAGGTTTAGGCGTCTAAGAAGCTCTTTCGTGATTTTGAGAAGCTTCTGCAGAGTTCGGATCGTGCTGCAGGTTTGGTGCCTCCATGCACAACATAGATGATCGTTGTAACCCTTAACCCCTAAACCTGGAACTTAGGTCCTCAATCCAGAACACTAAAGCCCTAGGGAACGCCATGCTGCACACTCCCAAACCCCTAAACCCCTAAACCCCTAAACCCTAAACCCTAAACCCCTAAACCCTAGACTCCAACCAAAAACTTTCTTCGATACCCAAACACACCCCCATCCCGAAACTCCCAACCCGTAAACCCTAAACCCTACCTAGGCCCATCAAGTACCTTTTATAGGGCTCTGATCTTTCTCATTAAGAGGTAATTCCGGGCCAGCACGGGTAGTTGGGGGGTCTAGGTAAAGCCTCCATTAAACCCGTACGGTCCCAAATAGCCCCAACATTCTCAACCCCAAGCATAGGTAAACTTTTGACCTGTTTGGGCTTACACAATCCCTAACTCAAAAGGTTAACCCTGTCTGGGCCAAGGATACTTGGTGTTTTTCACTTTTCTCCTCTTCTGGCAACAGCTCCGACGGCTCGTATTGCGACCGATGATCGTTTTTCTCGACAAGCTCTGCATCCCGCAAGACGACGAAGACCTGAAGGCGACTGTTCTTCAAAAAAAGGAAGAAGGTTCCAGGGTTTAGGCTGAAGGGTTTAAGGGTTAGGGTTTAGGGGCCTTCTTTAAAGGAGAAAGTGTAAGTTATTAAAAAGGAAGAAGGCTTTAGGGATTACTCTTGGAGGGGCAGGGGACGTAGTAAGTATGGTTATAAGTAGAGTTATCAGTACCTGAAATGGATTTACCCCAATTATAACCCTCCTTATAACCTTAGTTACTAAGTCCCCTGCCCCTTCAAGTAGGCTGAAGGATTTAGGGGTTAGGGTGCAGGGGCCTTCTTTCAGGGAGAAAGTGTAAGTAGAGGCCCGTTTATGAGGGTTCCGAGGGTTAGTCTTCAGAAAATGTTAAGGATCTTACCTGCTGTCACTACCAGCGAAGTTGCCATTATTGTAATTATTGTTCGCATTATCCCTACTTTTCTCTGCCATTTGGAGGCTGCTTGTTCTTGCTCTATAGAATATACGAGGATGCCCAGTAGTACCCTTATTCCCTTTTTGTAGTCCTAGGTTCCTTGTAAAGGTACCCAATACCCAAAAGGGAGCCCGTGTTATTCCTAGGTTCCGGGGCATCCTAGATAAGGATCCTACTTGGGTGTTCATGGAACTTAGTAAGTCTGGTTATAAGTACCTCAATTGGGCTTATAAGTACTTATAAGTATAGTTAACTATAACCCTAGTTTCTAAGTCCCATGATCCTTTAAGTAGGAGGGTTCTACACGTGTACAGACTTTCGGGGTTAGGGTCTACGGTAGTCGAGGGAGCCGAGGGTTGAAAAGCCTTCAGCTTTTGGGTTCAGGGTTGAAGGGCTCAGGGTTTTGGGGTTTAGGGGTTTAGGATTACTTAGAGGGTTTAGTTTAGGGTGTCAAGGGTCTGGGGCTTAAGGGTTTAGGGTTAAAGGGTTTTGGGGTTTAAGGTTTAGGGTTTAGCGTTTTTTGAAGGGTTTTGGGGTTAAAGGTTTAGGGTGTGAAGGGTTTAGGGTTCCCGAGACTGCGGAGACTCATGCCAGTGCCGGAGAGGGTTCGGGACGGAGTGGGTTCTCTTGAAGTGGGTCAAACTCTCGTGTTTCCGCAGAACGCGTGTGTTCCGGCCCTTTTGGTTAAACATCCCGGTACATTTTCGAATTTCGGCTCTGGACTATAAACCCTCAACCCTCAACGCAAACCACAAACCCTAAACCCTGACCCTACACTTCAGAACCGAAAGGAAACCACTAAACACTAAACTGTACTATACAACCTCCGACAACACCACAAATCCCTATAGAAACCCTAAAGACATTAAGGACTATAAAATCTGACCAAGCCCCCTACGAAAATTCTAAACAACCCTAAACCTTAAACCCTAAACCCAAACCCAAAACCCCAAACCCTAAAGAGGCCTTCTGAAGGAGCCTGAGGCCTGCTAAATATAGAGACCTGATGAAGAAACCTCGGGGCTTTATTAGGGTTCCTATGAGGGTTCCTTTTAAAGGGTACTATAAGGGTGCTATAAGTGTTTTGGGGGGTTAATTATTTACTCCAAACACCAAATCCTGAAAGCTGAAAAAAGTAGCCCGTAAAAGAGCCGTAATATGGAGACGATCCTTTAAAACGACATTATAGGCCCGACTTATAACAACCCATGAACCTCCAAGTAGAGCCCTTTTGGCGGACCCTAAAGCCATGGACATTTAAAGGAGCCTTCAAAAGCCCCTTCAACGGAGTCCCTTGAAAAGGAACCATACCAAAACGGAACCCTTAAAGGAGTTAAAGCGCCCCATAAAGACAACCCAGGACCCCTAACATATAGAATGCAGAATCCTGTTAACGGAGCGCTTGAGGGGGTTCAAGGAGTCCTTAAAGAGGCCTGAAAGGGCCTTTAAACGAGCCCTGAAAGGGAATGAAAGGGAGCCCCTTATTGTAGAAGCCGTCCTCTTAATTTCCCTAACCCTAAGGGTCCAAGTACCTAATGATCATATACTCTCCAAATTAGTAGCCTACATACCTACTATCTTCCTACTATCCTAAACCCGAGTACCTAATTGTTGGGTCCTTTGAACCCTTAGGGCCAGGTCAACACCAGAGCATCCCGGCAGTAATCCTCTTGAATCCTTGTTTCAACTTTCTAGAGGTCACTACAAACCCTAAGAATTCCAAGTGAATGTACCATCCGCTCAACCCTAGAATCCAATTATTAGGCCCTTGGGGCCCCCTAAGCCCTAGACCCCAGACCCTAAACCCTAAACCCTAAATAAACCGAACCCCTTTTAAAGGAACCCTGATCGGCGCCTTTACAGGAACCGTACAAGGAACCAAGCCCCCCATCAAAAAGCGCCCTTAAAGAAAGGAACCCTCGAAGTTCAAGTTTAAGGGAGGAGTTTACGGATTTAGGGGTTCAGGGGTGCAGGGGTTTTAGGGGTTCAGGGTGTGGGGGTTTAGGTGTTATAAGTTATAGGAAACTCCAGAAAGTTGGAATATGGATTCATGGTAGGATACCCTATAATTTACCATAGAAGGGTTATATAGGATAATCATATTCCAACTTTCTGGCTTTTACCTTAGGGGGTTAGGGTTCTTCAAGGGGCCTTGAAAGACGAGGCTCGTTGCATCTTCGGGCTCGCCGGATTTCTGGACAGAGCAGAGACGCTGCCTGGGCTGAAGCGGACGGACGAGCCCCTTTCAGGGATTTCTCTAGGGATCCATTCGGTTACGGGCCCATTTTGTGGAGTTTCTATAGGGTTTACGGTTTTAGGTGTTTCTATACGGATCTATAAGGTTTCGGGTTATTTCGGGATTTCTGCAGGGATCTTACGGGGGGTTATGGGCTGTCGGTGTGGGTTTGCATGGATTTAGTGGGTTTAAGGGTTCTTGCTGTCGGGTTCTAGAAGGATCTACAAGGCGTTCTGGTGTTTCTATGGGGGGTGTATGGGCATGGAGATGATTTTAGACTCCTGCAAGTCTAACGGAGTCTTTAACCGAAGCCTTAGTCCTAAAATGACCTGCCTTTTCAAGCGTTCCTTATCATGATTTCTTTTTCGAACTCCTTAAGCGGCGGGTGATTTTGGGTTTTCAGGGTAATCCTCAATCCCTGAGGTCAAGGATCCAAGAGGTGGTGCCTTGGATAAGGGACCGTGCTTAACCCACACCGTAGCCCCATATACACAAAACTACGGTACAGTATGTGATGTTTTACTCTACTACCCTGGCCATGAAGCCTTATGTAGCATGGTCTTTGGTCCCAAAAGCCTTAACATATGAGTCCTTCGGTTGATGATATAAATCCTGCATTACCAATAATAAGGAATATGCCATACTTCCCATAGTTTAGGGTCCTTAAGGTAATGCAGGATTTATATCATCATCCGTTGGAGCCCTAGAGCCCTAGGGATATATAATCCTTAGGCCTCAAATAGCACAGAATCCTTGAGCTGTGAGCCCCAAACCCTATACTTAGGGGTACTTTGTAATATTTTTAATTTGTGGTTATCATAATCCCGAAGAAACAGCTACAATTATAATTTTGGCTAGGGTTCTAAGTTCAGTATAGTATTGGGTTTGGATCCTTTGCAAGTCCCTAGCTTTGGAGACCACGAAGCCCTAACACCGCAAAGCCCTCAAGCCTATAAACCCCTAACCTGAAACCCTAAACGCTTCAAACCCTCAAACCCCTAAAACTTTAAAACCCTAAACTCCCTAAAACCCTAAAACCTTCAGCCCCCAAAATTCCAACCCTCTAAACCCCTAAATCCCCGAACTTAGAATCTCTAGACTTTATGGTTTTGGATCCTTTTAGACCAGAGTCTTGGGGGCCGAATCGGTAGCCTTTAACCTTTCGGGGCTTATACAATCCTACTGAAATTCAAGAAGTTGACCTTGTGTGGGCCAGGGCTGGGATACTCAGCCCCTCACGAGCGTAGGAAACTCCGCAACCCCTAGCACCCTCCACACTAAACCCCAATGGAGGGCCTTGATAAATACAATAGTGTTTTGAGGGCTCCTTTTTGCAACTGTAGCAGAATATGTCCCCATAACCCGTTTCTATTTACTAAAGCACCTACATCATAGTATCCCCGATAGATTATAGTACACTCCCTTTAAGGGAACCCTAGTCTAATGATTAAGGCCCCTACATTACCCTAATGCTCCTGGACCCTCGTAGTGAGATCCCAAACCTTGGCCCCGAAAGCCCAAACCCTTTTCCAGAAAGCCCATGACCCTCTTAGGAGCCTTAGGGTAGTTACTAAGTCCCATGATCCTTTAAGTAGACCCTAACCCCCCCGTATAGAACCCTTATAGATTGATTGAAAAGAGCCCTTATAGAACCCGTAAAGATTTCTTCTAAATCCTAAACCCTGAACCCGAGGATTGAGGATCCCAGGACTCCTGGGTCCTACAGTAGAAGCCAGAAAGTTGGAACATCATTAGCCTCATGCCCTTATAAAGCAAAGTATAGGGAATCCTAGCACAGATCCTCCTAAATCCATAGGGATCCTTAGGGGTGTAGGGGGAGGGGGGGTAGGGGGCCTTAAGGCCCATAATAAGGACTAATAAGGCCTATTTAAGGAAATATAGTCCCCTACACCCCTCCCCCCTACACCCCTAAGGATCCCTATGATAAATCCATGTTCCAACTTTCTGGGGTTCACTATAGGTTGAGTCTCCAGGGTTCCCCCGCTTTTAAGTTACCAGCGGACCCTCTTAGGAGCCTTAGTTGAAGATCCTAAAACCCTAGCCCCTAAACCCCAAAATCCTAAGCCCTAAACCCCAAACCCTAAAGGCCTACAACTCCCCCCTAAACCCCCAAAGCCCCTTTCGCATTTCGACCCCGAGGCTGGTGGTGCTGTGGTCTCCTAGGTACTTTGCACGGCTGTGGTGTCGCGCGGTCTGAGTCAGTTGGGTTTAGCGTTGGGGGGTTTTAGGGTTCCTTTAAAGGGGATCTATAGGGTTGAGGGCTTTAGGGTTCCTGTAAAGGAATCCATAGGGTTGAGGGGAAAAGGAGTATAGGAGTTCAGGGGTTTAGGGGTTTAGAGTTCAGGGGTATAGGGGTTTCGGGTTTAGGACTGTATCTAATTAGGGTGTAGGAGTTTAGGCTGCAAGTCTCAAGGATTCAGCCGACTTCTCTAAAGCAGGGACCGCTCGTTTAAGCGACTCAGCCCCCAGACTTAAGCAGTTGGAAAGAGGACTAAGGACAAATAGTGCTGGGATTACCTATACACTACTCTTAAGGACTGAGGCTATTGGGTTTCCAAGCTTTGGGCTTCTACTACATCCCTAAACCCGTAAAACTCAAAAAATCCCCTATGTTTAGATCCCTTGAAGGGCCCCTAAGTATTCCTTTTAAGGGATATGGACTACTGACTTTTACACTACTTTTGGGGAACTCCCTTTGTAGGATCAGCTTCATTGGGTTTGGGTTGTTAACCCTGGACCCTAAGCCACCCTCAACCGTGAACCCTACACTGCTGTTGATGGACAAAAGTCCCGCATGACCCTAAGGACTCTAAACTAGGGGAACTATGGGATATTCCTTATAATGGGTCATGCAGGATTTTGTCCATCAACAGTGTCACCCACAAGCCCGCAATCCTGAACGCTGCACCGAAAGCCTCAACCTTAAGCCCTAAACTCTTAATGTAGAAAATCGTAGGATCCATCTAAAGAGCCCTAGTAAAGGCCCAGGGTTTCTAAATCAGGTTCCCACATTTTTGTTATAGTAGCCTTATAGATCCCTGATAGTAACCCTTATAGACCCCTGTAAAGGAACCCTCAGAAAGGCTCAGGGTTTCTTAATCAGGTTCCAACCTTAATCCCTTCAGGTGTTTAGGATGTTGAGCTCAGGCTTTCAGTCTTTGCTGCGGCCCCTGAAGGCAGCACTAAACCCTACTTGAAGGATCATGGGGCCTAGCAAGTACGGTTATTGTTGGGGTAGCTAGTCTAATCATAAACTGCTAATGAAGGTATTCATAACCGTACTTATCAAGTCCCATGATCCCTAAACCCTAAACCCTGAACCCCGAAACCCCTAACTCCTAAACCCCTAAACCCTAAACCCCTCAACCCCTAAAACCCCTAAAACCCCTCAACCCCTAAACCCCTAAACCCCAGGCACCTATGAAATTGCGACCTGGTTGAAGAACCAGGGCAAGCCGAAGCCGGTGGTGTTCTTGCCAGTGCAAATCTCGCGACTTCGGAGAAATGGGAGAGTTTTTTCCAATATTTTGGGATCTGCAGGTCTCTAATTACTAAAGCCTAAACCCTATAAACACCCCTATTCTAAGCGGCTTCGGAGTAATGGAAGTGTTGTTTTCCAGGATTTCGGGATTTAGGCCTTAGGGTAAGGAAGTTTTGTCTGTGTTTTTTACAGGATTTCGGGATTTAGGGCCTAGGGTAAGGAAGTTTTGTCTGTGTTTAGTTATATACATAGTTTAACATATTAATTAGAATCTTTGCTGGTGCCTTATAGTTAGTTGGGTTTGGTGTTTGGTTTCTTGCAATATGTAAGGTTTGTGGGCTGTTCGGGGTATAGGGCTTCAGGTCTTTCATGCTTGATCCAGGTTCCAATTTCCGGGGGAAGCCGTACACCGTAACACCTAGACGGGTAGATTTGTAGTCCCAGGCCGCCCGAGCTTTTCCGTGCCTGGCTGTTGAAGAAGAAGGGCCATTAAACCCCGATCCCTTAAAGGAACGCCTACATAAAGGAACCCTAAACCCTTCAAGGAGCCCTTTAAAATCACACAAACCAAACTTTAGCAAAGCTCAGGATACTCTTCATGATCTGCTTTTTGGTCGTGAGCCTGGTTCAAGCGACAACAGTCCTGGCGGAAACCGCATTGCTGCAATCGACAGCGTCAGATCCTCGTCAGCGCTAGAGGCCCTTCTTGGAGGACCATGGCGCTTCTAGGACCCAGAGTAGGCCCTTATTCCCTTTTTAAGGGTTTAGGTTCCCTTATAACCCCCTTTACACCAAAAAGGGCACCCTTTTTCTTCCTAGGTTACTCTTGGGTCTAGACTTAGTAAGTATAGCCAGAAGTACGTTAACTGGGGCTATAATTATAAGCAGTTTTGAGTATAGCTACCCCAATAATAACCGTGGTCACTAAGCCCTATGATCCTTCAAGTACTTGTACGGTTTACGGTTTAGGGACGGAGCCTCGTCAGCTTTATACGCCTAGGACTTCTTACTCTTGTTGCAGCTTCCACCTGCCTCTACCCCTCCATAAATTTATCGTTTCGTTGAGTTTCCTAGAAAGATTTTTCAACGGCTCTACCTGAGGTTTCAGAGTTTAGGGTTCAAGGTTATATGCCGTAAACCAAAACCGTAAGCCCTAAACTCTAAACATGTCAGCTTTGCTTTTCGGGGGAGTGCGGAGGTCGGATCTGCAGTTGATGGTCTGGATTTTAGGGTTTAGGGTGTAAGGAGTACCATACTTTAAATGCTGTTTTTTGTTTTTTTGTTTTTTTTCTGGACCTGTTCCATAAAGGAACCATGTTGAAATATGCGCTTATACATGTTTCTCCTGGGGGTACTCCAAAACCCAGTTCTGGATTTGCGTTTGGCTTTTGCTTTCAGATTTAGGAGCTAAGGGTTTAGTGCAGGGATTCGGGAGATGCTTAATATATCTTGGTATAGGGGCCTAAGTAACTACTAATACTACATTGGGGGCTCCTTACTACGATAATAGTATAACGGGCCCCAAAACCCTATTCCAATTACTAAGGCCCCTATAAGCCCCGTCATATAGTACCCCCTATAGATCCCTTATAGCAGCCCTTACAGACCCCTTTAAAGGAGCCCGATTCTTACTAAGGCCTATAGTATTGACCTGCGAGCCAAGCCTGAGGAATGGACAGTGGACGCGATCTTCCTGTTGATTGGCATCAACGCATCCTCGCCATTGATGGTTGCCTAGGGGCTCCATAGTGGTTCCTGTTTGGGGCTCCTACTTAGAATCCAAAAAGGTAATCCCAAAAAGGAACTACTATGGAGCCTATGGTTGTGGGTTTATGATTTATGGTTTAGGGTTAGGGTTTAGGGTTTAGGGTTTAGGGTTTGAAGTTTGAAGGTTGTGATGTATAGGCTTCCGGTGTGGACAAGCATGATCCTTCTGACTGTAAGGTATATGCCATCGAATTGAGGAGGATTATAGGGGCCTAAACAGTTACCCATACTATTTTGGAGGCTCCTTGTTACAATTATAGTATAATATACCCCAAACCCCATATACCCGAAACCCCATCTAGTGGTTCCTTGCCCTCTTTTTTCGGGTAATAAAGCCTTTTGCGAAGAGTTGTTTCAGTTTTTGTTCGTGGAGCAGTCGTCGCCGCCGTCGTAGTAGCGAGGGCAGGAGCAGCGGCAATGGCAGCAGCAGTACCCCCAAGGGTCCAAATACCTGATCATCATATACTCTCCAAACATAACTACTATCCTAAAACCGAGTACCTAATTATTGCGTCCTTTGGACCCTTGGGGTAGGAGCAGGATTGGGAATTGGGAGTTGGAACAGAAGCAGGACCAGGACTAGGAGTAGAAATAGGAGATGATACAAATCCTGCATTACCCATAAACGGGAACATACCGTAGTTCCCATAGTTTAGGGTCCTTAAGGTAATGCTGGCATAAACTTTCAGCGATCTGCTTTCCAACCGAGGCAATCGCAGGTTTGTGATTAAGGGGTTTCCTAAACCCTTACGAGTAAACCCTGTCAACGGTCTGCTTTGCGACTGAGGCAATTATGGCTTCCATCCTGCTCCCTCTGTGTTTCTTCTTTTGGACGAAGATGCAGCAGAGCTGAATTTAGTTTAGGGTTTAGGGTTTATGGTTGAGCGTGTAAGGTTTAGGGTTTAGGGTGGACGTTGCAGGGATAGCGAAAGCCTTTTGGGTTTGGGAGTTGACGCAATCTGAGAGGTTCCTGTTCCTTTTTGGGGGCTGCCCTGCCGAATGCCGATATAGGGCCTCAAACCCTAAACCCCAAGGGTCCAAAGGACCCAATAATTAGGTACTCGGGTTTAGGATAGTGGTTGTTATGTAGCTTAGGGCTTTGGGGAGTGTATGAATATCAGGTACTTGCACCCTTGGGGAAACCCCAATACTCATGTCGGCCTACGCCTACGCCAATCAAGGCGCAGAGTACAAACCGAAACTAAAATGGTGCTCATGCAGGCTTTGAACTAAGGAACTAGCCTGAACCCTGACTAGCTAAACCCTAAAACCTGAAGTCTAAACTCTATTAATGGCTCTTTTTGTGTCTAGGGGTGGGTCTTTAGGTAAGGGGCGCACGACTGACAAACCACATTCACACACCAGCTCTCCTCGTCCACGATGTTGCTCCATGATCGAAGCCGAGTATTGGAGAATCCTACAGCTGCAATATGTGTGGGGCCGTATTGAGTATTTGATCCTTCACTCCCCACTTATGTTTTGGATAACTTTCAGCCCTAAACCCAATTAGATCCCAAACGCTCACCCCCAAACTCCTAAACCTTGGCCTAGACTCCCACTATTAAGGACCATGAAGGGCTCTGTTCGCACCCCTGCTTAAAGCTTCACGGGACTTATTAACTTAAAGGGCTCCTTTAAGGGCTCTTTGAGGGGGATCTCTGGGTTTAGGACTCAAAGGTTCATGCGACTTAGTGAGGGGGGTTCCTTAAACTAGGACCCAGAGTAGGCCCTTATTCCCTTTTTTAGGGTTCAGGTTCCCTTAAAAGCCCCTTTAATCCAAAAAGGGCATCCTTTTTATGCCTGGGTTACTCTTGGGTCTAGTAAAGGAGTCCTTCAAGGGCTTCTAAAAAAGGTTTCATCAAGGTTCATGGGGCTGGTTAGCCCGGGTCCCATAAAGGATTCCTACAAGGGTGTCCTTAGAAAGGTTGCATAAAGGTTCAAGGGACGTAGTATCAAGGATATACAAGGATTATTATGCTGATAACTATGCTTCTAAGTCAGTATAACCCAATTATGGTACTTATACCCTTACTTACTAAGTCCCACACCCTCTATCATAGAACCTGTATAGATCCCTTTAACGAGCCCTACTTACTAAGTCCCGTGATCCTTTAAGTAGCCCCGGGCTGCTCCAACCTGCGATTCTCCCGACGGCCGAGGTTTAAAGATGTTGCGGAGCTTCATCGTCAACTAACATCCTTTAAAGTGCAGGACCCTGAGGGCTTAAAAAGGATGTAGAGTTTAGGGTTACGAACGTCCTTTAGAGTGCAGGACCCTGACGGCCTGCGCAGGGTGTTGGGATTAAGGCTACTAACCTCCTTTATATGGGACCCCCAGCAATTTTCACCGGGGTTTACGGCTTTGAAAAGCAGAGCCCAAAGGTCCCCCAAAAAAAGGTTTGGGGTTCAGGCTGTCGGCTTGATTTCAGTGGACCTTTCTGAAGGTTTAGATTTGCTATGGAAGTGACCGCGCCATAGGGAGCGTCATTGAACAATATAACGCCTGTAGAATATCCCCTAAGCCCTATTCTAATGATGAAGATCCTTATGTTATATCCTACCTGTAGCCCTCAACCTCTGAGACAAGTCGAGTACTAGGACCTAGAGTAGGCCCTTACTCCCTTTTTGTTGGGTTCAGGTTCCCTTATAACTCCCTTTAAACCAAAAGGGGCACCCTTTTTATTCCTAGGTTGCTCTTAGGTCTAGGAGACAAGTCGAGTAGATCATGGCTCTCATGACCGTGCCGAAACCATCCCGGAGCGCGAATTCATGCTGAAGCGCAACATACTCCCATCAGGATACTATAATGGACACAATCCTGCAGTAGTTTATGGGATCCTGAGAGGGGGGATCTTAACTCCAAGACTCTAAGGGTCCATGTGCCCAACTCGCAGGGTTTTAGGTCCCAAATACTATACTCTTAAAACACCCTCTGCGTCCTTCGATGGCCCCAACATGGCTCATGCTGGTAAGAAGTGTCGTACAACATGGCTTTCAGCTGTGACAAAGAAATCCCTCGAACACAACCGAAAACCCTAAAGCCCTAAAACCGTAAACCCCTAAAGCCCTAAACCAGGAGACCAGCTGCTACAGATCCCTTTTTAATTTTAAGGAACCCCTTTAGATCCCTTTAAAGGAACCCTTGTAGATCCCTTTAAATGAACCCGTATAGATCCCTGTAAAGGAATCCTTATAGATCCCTTCAAAGGAACCCGTGTAGATCCTTTTAATATCCTTATAGATCCCTTTACAGGAACCCCTATAGATTTCATAACCCTAAATCCCTAAACCCTAAACGCTAAACCCAAGCCTCCAGGAGACCAGCTGCTACTGCTTTTCTAGTTATTGAGGCCCCTGCACCCCTAAATCCCGAGTAGAACCCCTATAGATCCCTTTAAAGGAACCTACATAAAACCGTAAGCCAGGAGACCAGCTGCTACTGTTGCACCCAGAGACACCGCGATCCGGCAACCGGCGCGGTGATTTCTTGCGACCGAAAGTTGATCTACGGTGTCTTGAAGAAGTGCCCAGGCCAAAGGTTTTTTAAGGGTTTAGGGGTTAAAGTCTGACACGCCAAAGGTATGCATAAGGGTTCTATAAGGCACCAATTCTGAAGGCTATAAGGGGGGATCCTTTACGGGATCTATAAGGGTTCCGTAAAAGCGATCTATAAAGTTGATCTGCAGTGTCTCGAAGAAGCGCCTAAGCTAAGACTAAGGGTTTAGAGTTTAGGGTTTAGAGTTTAGGGTTAAGGGTTTACAGTTAAGGATTTAGGGTTTAGGGTTCACAGTAGTTGTAATGTTCAGGGTTCAGGGTGTCTTGAAGAAGCGCCTAGGGTCTGTGGTTGCGGGGTTTTGAGCTTACACGAAGGAGCGGAGCCTCGTAGTGAGACCCCAGACCTGCACTCGGAAATCTCCAACCCTCCAACAGAAAGGCCATGACCCCTTTAGGAGCCTTGGGGTATAGGGTTTTGGGATAGACAAACCGCTGTTTAGGGATTAAGGAAAAATTTAGGCTTGAGGTTTTAGTATCATGCTTCCACCACAAGATGTCTCTTAATAATCCTCCATCCATCCTAAACTGCATCCTGAACCCCGGAGTTCAGGGCACCGGCTTCATAAAGGGGCTATCGAGCTTCATCACTAGTTGTCGAATGCGTCCAAAGTTTCTCAACAGTAAGGCTCTACATTAAACAATAACGGAAACTAACAGTTATCCCAAATCGATTTCTATTTCAAGAACTTACGGGCTGGAGGGTAGGGGATCTCGGGGCTTGGGGTTGGAGTCTGGAGTTTACTAAGCCAGGGGCGGCTTAGTGTTTGGGCTTTGGAATGTAGACGGTAGGGCTTGGAGTTAAGAGTTTAGCATCCTGGGTCTAGAGTTTAGGCTTTACAAGTAGGGGTTTGGAGTCTAGGGTTTAAGTTGTTGCTAAATTCAGGGCTTACCGTCACTGAGCTGTATTTCCCTAATCCCTGCGGTGTAGACCTTAAATCGTTGGTCCTGAACCCAACACCCAACACCTGAAACCCTAGCTGTGAACCAACAAACCTATCTTCTGAAGGAAGCGTGCATAGAAACCAGAATAATTCAGAAACTAGGCTCTCCGGTCTTTCGGCCCAAAAGCCTACATATATGAGTCCTTAGAGCCCTTGGGTTTGATGTTGGCTTAGGCACTTCTTCAAGACCCCATAACCTTACAACTAACACCCTAAAACTGAAACCCTATACCATACACTCTAAGCCCTAAACCCATAAACTCTAAACCCACAAACCGTAAACCCAATGCCATAAACCCTAAACCCTAAACCCTTTCAGCTTTAGCTTAGGCACTTCTTCAAGACACCCCCTTACAACTACTCTGAACCCTGTACTAAACCCTAAACCCCTAGTGTTAACAACGGCACTCCTTCAAGACACCGTAGACCCTAACCCCCCCTCTCGAACCCTTATAGATTCCTTTTAAGTGTCAGCCTAGGAACTTATTCAAGACACCCTTAACTTACTACTACCCTAAACCCTACAGTAAACCCTGAATCCCATAAACCCTCAACTGTACAACCTTTAGCTTCGGCACTTCTTCAAGACACCCTTAACCTTAAACAACTACCATGAACCCTAAAGGACCTTACGACCTTCGGCGGCACTGACCCACAACCCTAAACCACCATAATCTTTAGCTTAGGCGCTTCTTCAAGACGCCCTGAACCCTACAACTACTATGAACCGTAAACCCATAAACCCTAAACCTTACAACCTTTAGCTTAAGAACCCTAATACTAAGAGCCCTAAACTACAATACTCTGCAACCCTAAACCCTAAGAGCCCTTACCTTAAATCCCAGAGTATTGCAGCTGTCATAGAGAAGTCCCATGATCCTTTAAGCAGACCCTAAAGCCCCTCTTATAGAACCCTCATAGCTCCCTTTATAAAGTAACCCTTTCAGGAACCCTAGTTACGAAGTCCCATATAGAGAGTGCCCCTCGACTCCAAGAGCTACTTGTTAAGGCCTTTCCCCCATCGTACTCTCGGAGAAATCCCGGAGCCCGAAGGAAGAAGCTAAAGGCCGAAAGCCCCGAACCCGGAGCCCTTTAGCTCCAGACCCTTAGCCCGAACCCTATATAACTCTATAAACTTTAGGGTTTAGGATTTAGGGTTTAGGGTTTGGGGTCCAGGGCTTATGGATTAGGGTTGAGGGTTTAGGGTAGGCTTTGAAGTTTAGGGTTGTTACGCTGGAGATCAAAATCGCCCAAGAGCCTGATATAGTATGGCCTTTGGGCCGAGAAGCCTTACAGTAAACCCCATAAACTTGGAAACCGGATTAAGGCCAAATAGTGCTGGATTCCCTTTGGATGACTCTTAAGGATTGAGGCTATGGAGTTTCCAACTTTTTGGCTTCTGCTGTAATATATGAGTAGCCTTAGTTTTTGAGTCCGCAGAGTCTTGGGCAAGCCCTAAACCGAGGTGGTATGGCGGGGCCAAGAAGAACTACCTCGAGGTTTTCAATGGTTTGGTCCGCGAACAGCTGCTTGGGTTTAGTTTCGGGTTCAGGGTTTGGGGGTTTAGGGTTCAGGGTTTACGGGTTTAGTTTTCGGATCATTGTAGGGTTTATGGTCACAGGGTGTAGCGCTCAGAAAGAAGGCTAACAGGGTTCAGAGGCCCTGTGGGGCGCATAGGGTTTTGGGGTCTTAGAAAAATATGAGCTTGCAGCACTCATAGGGTCATTAGGATGTATGGAGCCTATGGGGTTTACGTAGCCTATAGGGTTTGAAGATTCTAGAGGGTTTGGGATAGCTGGGGCTTGTAGAGCTACCGGGTTTTGGGGTTTATGGGGTTTGATCTATTGTAGGGCTTGAATATAAATATAAGATTTATAGAACTCACAAGCTCATGAAGCTTGCAGGGAGTATAGGGTTTGTAGGGTTCAGGGTTGCTTTGTGAGGGCTCCCAGAACTCTTTCGGGGTCATAGGCAGAAATTATAGTGGTTCTACAAGATTTCTGTAGCTTGATGAGGGCTCTATTCGGGTTTTACGCGGTTCTGAATTAGAGAAGGGCTTAAAGAAGGTTCTATACATAATATTTAATATACATACATATATATATATATGTGTGTGTATACATATATAGACGGGTGTTGAAAGGGTTCTGTGAAAAATACCCAACAGAGTATGCCACTCTGCGTAGATCCGAAATTCAACCAGCTACCTTTACACTGTTTTTTCCGAGCCCGACCAAGAACCGGACAGGTTTTTAAAGAATCATGGGATCTCAGCCAGGGTTATTATTCAAGTAACTATACTTTCCTTCAGTTCTATCCCCAACTGCGGCACTTGGCGCTGTACTTACTAAGTCCCATGATCCTTTAAGTGCATCGACCCTCTTCGAAGCCCTCTGTATCCGAAGAGAAACGGCCATCGCTCCAAGACTAAACGGCAAAGGGGATGGGGGCCCTTCGGAAAACAGGTTTGGGGTACACTAAACGATACAGTGCAGCTAGCAGTAAAAGCTCGCATCCTCGACACACTGGCAGCCAGAGCCCAATGCCTTTTAAGTAGTGCTGCTGCTGCTAGCGCTAGCTAGCACGACCAAAAGCTCAACCTTTGTGCCCCAAACCCCCAAGGCCCGCAAAACCCGCACGTCCCACACCCAAAACAACCTAACAAACCCCAAACGCAGTGCCCTGACGCCTCGAGGGGCTCCTCCCCTAAACCCCACCTACAACCTAAACCCGACAGTACCCTAAACCTTACAGGGAACTCCAGAAAGTTGGAATATGGTTTCAGGGTAGGATACCTTAGAATTTACCATAGAAGGGTTAGGATAATCATATTCCAACTTTCTGGCTTTTACCTTAAACCCGAACTCTCAGGCTCTCTTTGCCGATCCAGCGCCGAGGGCCCAGATTTTGGCAGAAGCAACGTGGGAGTTTCAGAAAATTAGGTGTACCTTACTTTGGGGTCCTTATAATAAGGATCCCACTGTTTAGGGTACTGTATTAGGGTCCCCTATTTTCGGATTCTCCCATGTTGCGGGCTTCTGGACCTTGGGTTTCCGAGTGTTGAAGGTTTCTGAGTTTTGGGGCGTAGGATTTTGGGGTTCCCAGAAGCTTGCAGTGTGGCTCAAGAGTGGAGGCTCTAGCGGCAAAAAACAAATCTTTCTACAAGTACTAAGTACTTGGGATAGGGCTCCTGCAATTTCAGAAGAGACTGTGCAGCACCACCTCACTTCTGTTTTTGGTAGGTTGCGCAGGAAAGTATCAGAAGTTTACTTGGAAGATCATGGGACTTAGTAAGTATGCTTACAGGTACCCTGATTGGGGTTATAAGTAATTATGAGTATAGTTACCTTAATAGTAACTCTAGTTACTAAGTCCCATGATCCTCCAAGTAGGGTTTAGCTGTGTCGAGCATTCATGGGCATGGTGTCATGTATGGGAGTTTCCGAAAATTACGGGCGCCGCATTTTGGTTCCATTAAGGGGCTACTATAAGGGTGCCATAAGGGCTCCTTTAAAGGGCTCGATAAGAGTTTGCTTATGTGCTTTTTTGGGACCTTAATAACACAAGTTCCGGTGATGAACGTCTTCAATTCAATTAATATACCGGTTCGAGGCAGCATGCCTTCAGATTCCTTCTTGTTCGGTTCAGGCACAGCTGTGGCCACAGGGCCTTAGGCAGGAGCTGTATTGAAAGTATTCTATACTCCATACTCTGTACTCTATAGTAGGGACCCCCAAAAGCACATAAGCATAAGCATTTAATGTGGATATCCCTACCTCATTGGGCTTCGTTATAAGGGGGTTTATATGGGATATCCCTATCCTAATTTTTGCTTATGTGCTTTTTGGGGCCCTATACAATGCTACACTATACTAAACCCTAATCCAGAAGCCCTTAATCAAGCTTCAGGACAACACCCTAAACCCTGCTAAACCCTAAACCCTAATCTTTGCCATAAACCCCCAGCCCTTAGACCCTAAACCCCTAAAATTATTTCAAAACCCTAAACCCTAAAACCACCATAATTATCCCAAAACCCTAAACTCCAGGCCCAAAAGCAGAAACCCTTTATCCGGTTCAAGGCAAGCTCCAGGACAACACCTTAAACCCTAAACCCGCTGCAGGAGAAAGGCCGCGATTGTAGGTAACAAAAATCCTGATAATTATCCCTAAACCCTAAACCCTAAACCCTGAACCCTGAACCCTAAACCCTAAACCCTTAACCCTTAACCCTTAAAGCCCTAAACCCTTAAAGCCCGGTTCAAGGCAAGCTTCAGGATAACACCTTGCTTCTGCAGTACCTGGCGGCCGCGGGGCTGGCCCCTTCGCGGATATCCCGGGGCTACGGTCTAGGGTTGCTTTAAAGGGTGCCTTTAAGGGCTTCCCTTTAAGGGATCTACAGGGTTTAGGGTTTTGTAATGGGGTTTGGGGTTTGGGGGTATAGGGGTTGAGGGTTCACACGGTTGATGATATAAACTAATCCTGTAGCCGAAAAGACCTACCTTTTTAAGGAACTATATATATATATATATATATATATATATATATAGAAGCCATAGTAAGGAACCTTAACAAGGTAGGTCTTGCCGGCTCGGGAATCCATAGGGGTTCCTTTCCAAGTTTGTAGCAGGTTTCGGGCAGACCCAAATCCTAGGATTCTTAAGCTGTTTCGTGATAGGGCTTGGTAGCAGGGTTTAGGGGCTTTTGACTTGATTTGCTGCACAGACCTTGATTTGTAAGATTATCCCGCATTGACCTTGTAAACGGGTTGCGGATCAGGGGGTTCAGTCGGAAGTTGTAGGCACGTCATGAATACGTGGCCCCAGTTAGCACACTTGCTACCCCACTATAGAGTGCTTGTGAGCCACATGACCCGCCAAGTCTACATGCGATTAAACTCGAACCTCCAGATCCTTAGATAGTGAACGGGGGAACTTTAAACTTTTTGGCCTTATATATTAGCTCTATAGTAGAAAGTTTGAGCTTTCTGGGGCCCGGCTGTTGAAGAAGAGAGGATCCAGAACGCGGGGACCTTGCACTCCCAGAGTTGCCTCCTTGCCCCAGGAAGCTCCACACCCCTGAGCCACAAGCTTGCTTACCTTTGGTCAGTACCTTAGCCTACCAAACCCTACTTTTTTGTAGGTTCTTGTTATGAACCTTAATATGGAATTTATAGGGACCCTACTTTTCGTAGTGTTTGGTAGGTTAAGGTAGGGAATGGAAGAACATGGGAGTAATAGTAGTTATAATTGTACCCCATTCCTCCATTCCCTACTAACCAAAGGTAAGGTGATGACGATCTTCATCCCAACCCCTAAAAACAAGCCTTAACAAGATGCTGAAAGACCCTGCCTACAGCACCTTCGTAAATTTCTCCCCGGTACCCACTATTTTCGGAAAGCCCCATATTGGGGTACTGGGACCTTCTGCGTAGATTCCTGACACCGACGTCCAAGGCGGCTATCTGCCCCTTCTTCGCTATGTGGATACCGAGACTGGCACGGTCGTACGCGGAAGAAGGCAGTTTCGGGGGACGGGGACATCGTACCCAGACCCCCGGGAGGATCCAAAAAGTAGATCCCTTAATGGGGGCTCCTATAAAGTACCCTTGGTAGTATAGGGCCCAAAATTACGGGATCTGCTTACTGGATCCTCCAGAAGTTCTGCGTACCCAAAAGCCCGAACGTTAAACCCTGACCCTGAATCCTAAACCCCAAGCCCTGATTTGTCTAATTCTAAGGCCCTGAACCCTCAACCCTGAACTAAACCCAAATTGAAGAAACAGCACCTGAATCCATTCCCGCTATGAGTTGAGGAGTTCACTTTTTTGTTTTCGGAGTATCACGCTTGACTGCAAAAAACGTCACAAACCCCACACTTCAGGCCCCGAAACCTGACATCTACCCAGAGAGCCCAATACCCCTTAATAAAGGAATATCGCTTGAATCATAATATGAAGCCCTCTATAATTTAAGCCATATTCCCTAATTAAGGGGTATTGGGCTCTCTGGGTATCGTTTTGGGGGACGGTCTTGACCTGCCGCTCCGGCGTTCCCCGAGCCACAGTCGAGCTGTCTGGTCTCGGCTTTGGACGCCTTATCGTATTTTGATTCTGAATTCAATTCAGGGTTTACAATTTAGGGTTTAGGGTTGTTCGCCGTTGAGGATCGTTGAGGGTTTAGGGTGGTATTAGGTTTAAGGGTTTTGGCTTCAGGGTGGCATTAGGGTTAAGGGCTTTGGGTATGGTCTGATATGTGGGAGTTTCCGCAACGAGGGGACCCTAACAGAGTACCCTAAATAGTAGGATCCTTATTATAAGAACCCCCCAAAATCAGGCACCCCTGATTTTCGGAAGCTCCCATGTGGGGTTTGGGGTTGATGGGGCTGAGTCTGAGCGCTGAGCCATTGGAGCCTAATAAGTCCATCCTTATGACCCCCTTTAAACCATAAAGGGCACCCTTTTATTCCTATAGGTTACTCTTAGGTCTCAGATAAACCTAGACACCGAAGACCTGGAAATTGGATTGAAAGTTTTTGGCGTTTAGAGTGCTTGGTAAACCTTGACACCCTATGGCTCTAAGGACTCATATAGGGTTCCTTTACGGGGATCTATAAGGCGCCCTTTAAAGGGATCTATAGGGTTTAAGGCATCTATTGAGGCTTTTGGGCCCCAAGACCATACGATATAAGGCATTTGGGCTGTTTTGATGCCCAGGGTAACATGAAATTCATGGGGACGGTATGCAAAAAGTAGGCTTTGATAGGTTAACTTCTTTCCCCATTACCCAGCCTTCAAGCTTTTTGTGTTCTTGTAGTTTTGTCTAGTAGCGCTCGGAAAGTTTGACCTTTTATTTCTGTGGCTCAGGGGAAGTAAGACAAGGTCCGAAACATGATACCCCCTAAACCCTAAACCCTAAACCGTGGAAGGTTCGATTGGACTTCTGCGAAGACTCCAGCCGAAGGTCGGCTGCAACCTGCGGTGCTCGGATCTGGGCTGCGATCCCATAGTCATCAATTCCAACGTAAGTATATGAAGTAGGGTTTATATTACCGTTTTGGTGAGTGTAGTTAGGGCTCCTTTTAGGATTAGGTGAGTGTGTATATATATATATATATATATATATATATATATATATATTGGGTTTTATTAGGGGTATACTAATAATAAAAACCATACCCCATATCAAGCTCTATAAAGTCTTGGGCTTGGGGTGAAGAGGATCAGGCGGCCCGCATTGGGCTTGCTGTGGGTTTAGGGCATAGTAAGCAGCTCACCCCCTAAACCCTAAATCCCTGAACCTCGCGTTCTTCTCGCATGGGACGTCCGATGACATCTTGCATAAATCCCTGAACCCCTAAACCACTAAACCTGAAACCCCGAAACTCCTCAAACGTAAGCCTCAAAGAGTCGAGGTTTTCCAACAAAGAGGCCGATCAGTCTTCAGTTTTCCTTTAGATAAAGCGCTACGGGATTTTTGGTGTTTGCGGTTTTTGTGGTGTAGAGCCCTAGGGTTCATGTAAGGTCGGTTCTTGGATTCTGGATTTAGGCTGAACCTCTGTCATAGGAGAGTTTCGGAAAACGGGGACTCGATTTTCGGCTCGGCCGGGTATAGCAAGTTCCTTGACTTCGGGTACTGTCCATCTACCCCGAAATTGTCTGAACTCCCCTATGCGTCCGAGCCGCACAGCGTCTACGACGATGTCCGCTATGACGGCGATTGGGATCCACCGGGACCCAGGGAGGCATGCGCCAGCCGCCAGAACCGCCGGAGTCACCTGGCGGCGGCAAAGGAGGCTACCATCCTGGCGGCGGCAAAGGAGGCTACCATCGCCTGCCGGACAGGGCGATAGGCCGTCGGACGACTGGACGGATGCCGATTGGGCGGAGTACAGGCGTCAGAATGGTCGATATAGACGACCGAATCTTTGAGATTGATGTGGGCGCCGTATCGCTCAGCCCCGAGACAGGCTTCGGGTGGAACCGTCGTAAAATCTTCGGTGATTTTCGGCTGATAGAAAAACGTGGCTGGTAAAGACCCCAACCCTAAACCCAAAACCCAACTATGAGAATGATAGTGCATTTCTTAGGATGGGAAATGCAGCAGTTTGTCCATCAGCAGTTTTGTTGATCCGCTGGTGGCTTCCTAGCCCCGACATCCCTGAACCCGGAACCCAAGCGCTCACGTTGCTGCGGTTTAGGCGCGGGTTTTGAACTTTTTTTGTTGACGGAAGTTAGGGTTTCGGAAACTTTGCCCTAAGGGTCCAAGTACCTAATAACGGTTGATGATATAAATCCTGCATTTCCCGTAATAAGGAATATACCATAATTCCCATAGTTTCGGGTCCTTAAGGTAATGCAGGATTTATACCATCAGCCGTAATCATATACTCTCCGAAATGGTAACCTACAAACCTACTACCCTAAACCCAAGTACCTGATTATTAGGTCCTTTGGACCCTTAGGGTTGGTGTTCAGAGCGTAAGGTTCTTCAGGTTCGAGGAAATGGTTAGACATGAGATGGCCATAGCACTAAGCCCTAAACCTAACAGTTGCTATGTGAATATACGAGTGGAGGCCCCAACACCCTGCTCTAGTTATGCTTTTGTAAGTGCTTTGAATTGGGAGGGTCCGAAGAAGGGGGCCCTCATAGCCTAAAACTAGGATCCTTATTCTATGCACCATGGATCTTCAGTTTATTCAGCTCAGCATTATACGATATGGTTACCGTCGTTCAAACATGTTCGAAGGTGTATCTGATCGAGGCATGGAACGGATGCATGAGACGCGCAGTGTTTCCTTACTCCACATGAACTCCGCCAGCCGACGATGACAGCTCCTACGTTGAGCGGCCAAGGGCACAACCCTAAAGCCCAAATCGCTAAACAGGGCGCCACTATTCCACGGCAGGGTCAAAAGGCCTTAAGTACCTACGTAGTAGACAGTAGGGTTTCTATAGTAGGAACTTTCATTATTATTTTTATGTTTCTAGCTTAAGCCACACGGAGAGCTACAATGAAGCATTCGAGCAGACAATCTGCCGCTCCCCCTGGGGCTCTAAGGACTCATACATTAAGGCTTTTGGGCGCATAGACCATACTATACCAGGCTTTTGGGCTATTTTGATCGCCATGGTAGCTTTTCGTATAGCCCACAGCAAGACTTCTGGCAGGTCTACTTGATCCTGCTTGTCCTCTGCATGCTGCACGTCAGTGTTCCCCGGAATGCCACCGTCTGTAGGGCGGGGGGTGATTCAGGGCCTCAATTCGTATCCACGGGGGTTGTATACTACGGCTGATGATAAAAATCCTGCATTACCCATAATAGGGAATATAATATAATTCCCATAGTTTCGGGTCCTTAAGGTAATGCAGGATTTAGATCATCCGCAGTATGACCTTAAGCCCTGAATCTTAACCCTTAATCCTCCAACCCAGCCCAAAGCCTCACAACCCCAAGCCTTACATCCTGCACCCAAAACCCTTAAACCTGAAACCTTGAATCCGAAAGCCGAAGCCACGAACCCTAGACCCTAAAACCTTAAAAACGAAGCCTTGTACCATAAACCCGCAACGCTACACACTAGACCTTAAAACCCCCAAACTTTCTACCCTACTGGAGGGGCAGGGACTTAGTAAGTAGGTTATAAGTAGAGTTATATGCACGACGAATGGAGTTACCCCAATTATAACCCTACTTCTAACCTACTTACTAAGTCCCCTGCCCCTCCAAGTATACCTTTTCGACCCCAACCCTGCAACCTGAAATCTCAAACCACAAGCCTCGACCGAAGTTCCTAATGTGGGAGTTTCCAAAAATTTGGGGTACTTTATTTTGGTGTCCTTATAATAAGGATCCTACTATTTAGGGTGCTAGATTAGGGTCCCCTATTTTCGGAAACCCGGTAGGAACCTGATTAAGAAATCTTGGGCCTTTAACTAGGGCTCCTTCTATGAATCCTACTATTTTGGGGTTACAGGCTCAGGGTTTCTGAGTCAGGTTCCTACATTACCCCAAACACCATAAATCCTAAAACTTGGAAAAGAAGCCAGTAAAGGAGCCCTAATATCTCAAACCACAAACTTAGATGATCGAATTCCTGCTTTCCTTTGGCTTGTTGTTGATTTTGAAATCCTAAACCCTAAACCCTAGTAAACTTTGGGCCACGAATGCCAAGGGCTGGTGTTGAGCTTTTGATTCTCTAGTAAAGGGATCCCTTCCGCGATTAACCTAGGGTTCCTTTGTCAAAGGGGTCTATAAGGGTTACTATAATGGATCTATAGTAGGGTTTTCAGGAAAGGAATCCCCTTCCACAATGGTTTAGGGTTTAGGGTTTTAGGCAGGGATCCCCTTCCACAAGTAGTATATGGCCTTAAATCGGTACCTATGCTGTTGGGGGGTTCCTTTTTTATGATTGTAGTATACCGGGCATAGTACCTAAACGCTAAGCCCTAAACTATACTTGGAGGGTCAGGGGAAATAGTGAGTAGATCATATGTAGGGTTTTTTGGCGTAACTCCATTTAGGGTACTTATAACTCTACATATAACCTACTTACTAAGTCCCCTGCCCCTCCAAGTAGTGTCATTATATGGGAGTTTCCGAAAATAGGGGACCCTAATATAGTACCCTAAATAGTAGGATCCTTATTATAAGGAGCCCAAAACAAGGTACCCCTAATTTTCGGAAACTCCCTTTTTTGAGTCCTCAAAGCCCCTACGTCCTGAAGGCCCGAACCGAAAGCTTTTGGCATCAACAAGGGGTTTCCGGTTTAGGGGGTTTCCGGTTTAGGGTTTCTGGGCTTTCATGGTTTAGGGTTTGGGGCTTCAAGGTTTTGGGGCATTTTGGGTTTAAGGTTCTAGGGTGTTAGGGTTTCGTGCTTTACGGTTTCAGGCTTTTAGGGTTCAGGGCTAAGGGCTCTTTTAAGAATTTTAAGCGTAACTATAAGTCAGGGTTACAATATGCTTGAAGTCAGGCGCCTAAAACAATTAGTAAGATTGTTCTTTAACGTTTTCGTATTATAAGTGAACCACGACCCTATTGAGAAGCTCTTGCAGTCCCTATGTTACAACCCTCAAGCCACAGCCCAAAGCTAAATGCTTCTTAAGCAAGAATGCTTGGACATTCAAAGCTTTGGCAACGACGGAATGTTTTTTAATTTCTGCTTCAACGCTCACATTAGTGGTTTTGGGAGACGCTGACAGAAAAACCCAGCCAAACCTGGACAGCCCCAAACTCTCGACCCAAACCCTGTTTTCACAACATCCCTCACGTGAGCTGACTTACCCCGAAGCCTCAGCAAGGCCTGTTTGTCCAAGCACTGCAGCCAAGCCTTTGAAGCCAACACCAACAAAGTCCCTAAACCCTGATCCCTAATCCCTAAACCTAAACCCAAAACCCTGAACCTTGGCAAAGGTGCTTATCGGCAAAGCCGGAGTAGACCTGGCCAGTTGCTTCAATCCAATTCTCTTGGCCTGTGGGCAGGTGCCACGACTTCTCGTGATAACATAATGCTCATCGGCTCCTCATAGTAGGGGCCCAAAAAGCACAGAAGCATAAGCATTTTGTGGGGATATCCCTACCTTATTGGGCTTCATTATAAGGGGATTTATATGGGATATCCCTATCCTAATGTTTGCTTATGTGCTTTTTTGGGGCCCTATCATATACGACCATTGTGGGTTCCTTTAAGGGTTCTATAGGGTTTAGGGTATATAGGGTATGAGGCTTCTCATATACTACCATTATGGGCTACTTTAAGGGACCCGTTAAGGGTTCCTGTAGGAGTTCTATAGGGTTTAGGGTATATAAGGTTTAGGGTATGAGGCTCTTCATATACTGCCATTGTGGAATTTCGTCCCAGAAGACCATCCTTGTTATGGTTTTAGGTACCTAGTTCCATGATGGTAGTATCTAATGAGGAGCCTCTAGGGGGGTCTTAATAGTTAGAATAGGGTTCCTTCAAAGGGTTCCCTTTTGAAGGGATCTGCATATACTGGGTTGTGCTTTGGGATAATTTTTAATTTCCCTTATTTCCTTATACAGGGAACCTATTCAGATATAATTTTCAAAGGGTTTAAAGCACAACCCAGTATAGGGGGGGCTTTCAGGGATCTTGAATGTTATGGCCCCCCTATTTTAGACCATTTAGGGTCTGCGGTCCTAGGATTTAGGTTCCGACCGTTTACAAAGTAGGGTTGAAGGTCTAGCGCTTGGGCGTATGATCCAACACATTTGCTGCTGCTGCTGCTGCTGCTGCTGCTGCTGCTGCAGCTGCTCTGCCTCACCTCCAGCAGCTACTACTACTACTGCTGCTGCTGCTACTACTACTACTACTACTACTTCTACTACTTCTACTGCTACTACTCCTCCCTGCTGCTCCTGCTCCTGCTCCTGCTCCTGCTCCTGCTCCTGATACTGCTGCTCCTGCTGCTGCTACTACTGCAGCTACTACTGCTGCTGCTACTACTACTACTACTACTACTACTACTACTACTACTACTACTACTGTTGCCAGAAGTTCTATCAGCACGAACTGTGAAAGCCGAAAATGGTTCTGACTGGCAAGGTCGCAACCGTACTGAGCAAAATTCGCTGAAAGAACGGGAACGACAATCACAGCTCGGGATCATGGCATCTTATCAACACCACGACTCCAAGGTGACCCTAAACCCTCTACCCTGAACACTAAATCCTGGAGCCTATACCCTATGCCCTGAACCCTAAACCCTAAACCCTGAACCCTGAACCCTAAACCCTAAACCCTAAACCCTGAACCCTAAACCCTGGACCCTAAACCCTAAACCCTGAACCCTAAACCCTAAACCCTAAATCCTGAACCCTGAACCCCAAACCCTGAAGCCTAAACCCTAAACCCTAAACCTTAAGAGCAAGCCCCCGAAGCTCCTACCCTGAGCTCCCAAAGCTCCTACTTGGAGGATCATGGGACTTAGTAGCTATGGTTTAGGGTTCCTTTTTAAGGGCACTGTTGGGTTCTATAATAGGGTTCCTGAAAGGGATCCAGAAGGGTTCTATAATGGAGGATCATGGGACTTCGTAACTACGGTTATAAGCCCCTTAATTGGGTTATAAGTAACTATAAGTACAGTTACCCCAATAATAACCATAGTTACTAAGTCCCATGATCCTTTCAGTAAACCCTCAGAGCCCTGAGGCATGCTTCGAAACGCTGATGTGCCTGATGCTTGGCTCTTTCCTAAGGAGCTGAGGTTAAGTTGCCATAAAAAGGATCTACAAGGGCTCCTTTTAGGGATCTATTTACGGCTTTAAGGTTTAAGTTGCCACAATAATGAAGGTTCGATATCATCTAATATGTTTTCCTTATTATGGTAAGTTGAACTGACCTCCTTAACAAGAACCCAGGATGCTCTGGTTCCCCTTTAGCGTGAGCATGTTCATGACGGACGAGAATAGCTACCTCCCGGCCGTGACTCTCGGATTCTTGGATCCGGAAGAAGTATGGTTTAGGGTTTGTGGGTTGGGGCGGCTTAGGGCTTTTCAGTTTAGGTTTCAGCCTTAAAGGTAGTTTACGATTCAGTCTTAAGGGTTTAGGGCCGTCTAGGCCTTACCGGCCTGGGTCACAAACGTCTCGGGTTTGGGATTTCTGCAAGGTACGGGGTTTATACCGGGGGATCCAAAAACCTACTGTTTTAGGGGTCAGGGTCTACAAGTAAGGGGTCGTAGCCTACTATTTTGTAGGGTTTGGGGATACAGGTAGGGTTTAGGGCCGTTTGGAGCTTATGTATCGGCTTAGGCCTTTTCAGTTTAGGATTCAGCGTTAAGGGTTCAGTCATTCAGGGGTGCTTCCGTTTCTAAAGCCTTTGCCTGACATCCGGCACCCTAGGACGGAATCCGAGAAGCGCTAAACCCCCAAATATTCCCAGATTCCCTGCTGTCTTAACCCCTGACTTGTTGAAGAACCTGAGTTAAGTGTAATAAGGGCTTGGGGCCTGCACACAAAGGTCGGAAGGGGCCATGAGGATAGGTGGTGAGTATCCAAAAAAACTTGAAACCATCAAGCCCGAAGAACACGGCCAAAAACCCTAACACTATTGAATTCGGTCCCTAACATATTAAAACGTAAAGAAGCCATAATGAGGGTCCTTAGTAGATCTCAAGTCAGGTATCCTTGTTTCAGACCCATTCTCAGGAACCCTCGTAGAGCCCCAAAAATCCCTTGACATTGAACCCCCTCTGCAGACGAGCCCTTTTTACTCTAGAAACCCGGACAGGGTTTTGATAGAGGAGCCTCGCTCATGTGTTACTTATACGGTTTTCAGGGTTCACGATGATATACTTATAGTATGATGTGCACCACCACCCTATGCTACAGTAAACCCCAGAAAGTTGGAAACCGGATAAAGGCCAAATAGTGCTGGGATTCCGTCTACATTACTCTTAAGGATTGAGGCTATTGTGTTTCCAACTTTTGGGCTTCTACTGTAATTGTGAAGGCCCCTATACTAGACCGTTGAGCCGTCTGGAACAGGCACGTTCATAAAGCACCCCCCCAAATCGTAAAACCTAAACGCGAAGCCCCAACAACCAAAACCGCACACACTAAACCCCTAAACCCCTGAATCCCTAAATCCTACTCTAACTTATCCCTACTGGTCAGATGTGCTTACAATTAAAAATTATCCTCAAACCATAATTGCAAGTCCTACTATTGAAACCCAGTTTTCTATACTGTAGATACTAAGGACCCGTTGAGCACAGGCAGGAATGAAGCTAACTGTTCGGGCCCCTCTGCTCCGCGCCATAAGCTCTCGAAATCCCTCGTCCGACCCTGTTTTGGGTATAAATGGTACTTCCTACTCGAGGGTCTTAAATTCAGCCCTACAACCTAAACTTAGGTATACCTAGGCCTTAAGGGAGTTCCTGTATAAGTACTTTAAGGCCTATGTAGAGACTTCAAAAGACTACTTGCAGGGGGTATAGTAAGTAGGTTATAAGTAGAGCTATAAGTACCCTAAATGGAGTTACCCCAATGTTTGCCCTACTTATAACCCTACTTACTAAGTCCCCTGCTCCTCCAAGTACATAGGTACAGTAGCCTTGGGGCGTGTGAAATCGAAGCTCTATACGGGAGTTTCCGAAAAAAACGCGACCTTAATATAGTACCCTAACTACTAGGACCCTTATTATTAGGACGCCAGAATAAGGTACCCCTAATTTTCGGAAACTCCCATACCTTTTTCTTTGGGCACCGTGGCCAAGCGTGGCCGGGTTTAGGGTTTAGTTTAGGGTTCGCCGCAATCCCTAAACTCTGGGACCCAAGAAGGAAATAAGCATAAGCATTTTATAGGGATATCCCCCCCTTGATTCGCTTCATTATGAGGGGGGTTATATGGGATATCCCTATCTTTCAGTCAATCTTAATTTTTGCTTATGTGCCTTTTTGGGGTCCTATAAACCCCGAGCCTTAATCATGACATCCTAAGCCGCATCTGCCGTGAGGTGTCCTCTTCCTCGTGGATATCTACCTCTTTTACCCGAGCCTTACCAAAGCCTGCTTTTGCAAGAGGACGCTTGGAGTTCGGAGTTGAGGCTCGATAGATTTAGGGTTTGGGGGTGAGGGTGTTCAAGCTTCAGGACCTTAGGACCGCTTAGAATCTTAATGGTTTAATGTAGGACCCTGATCAAGAAACCCTGCGCCTATAACCCCAAAGTAGTAGGATTCATATAAGGAACCCTAACAAAGGCCCCCCGGTTTCTTAAGCAGGTTCCTACATTAAGCCTGACCCTAAACCCCTTATAGTACCCTTTATAGTATATATAGATCCCCTATAGATCCCTTTAAAGCAACCCCTTATAGAACCCTAATGAAGGCCCAGGGGCTGGGGTATTCAGCCCCTAAGTTATCGAAAGGGCGGCGCGAAGCCAGAAAGCTAAAGCTCCGAGTCCCTCCAGGGTCTGTTCTTGGGGTGTTCTTCTGGTTGGGTCTTAGGACTTTAGCTTCTTGGGCTTCTATATGAAGTATATAATATGGAGGCTAAAAGTTAAACTTTTAGGAGGGGTCCAGAAGACAGCCAGGTGTTTGTTTCGAACCCAGAGCCTCCAAAGCCCTTGCATTAAGGAATATCCCTAAAGCTAAATAGGAATCCTAATTAATGCCTTTCAATTAAGGAATATCCCTAAAGCTACAACAGAAATCCTAACATGATTTCAGGGCTTTGGGTGGAGTTTTTGGGAACCTCGTGAAGAAAGCGCAACAACCAAACCCTTTGTCAACTACCCCCGCTGGGCCTATTCGGCCCGGCTACATAAGAAGCGAGTGCCACGGTTAAGATGTGCTTCATCCCTTCTTTTTGTTATTACCCCAAGGATCCAAGTACCGAATAATCATATACTCTCCAAAATCCTAACCTACATCACTGTTACCCTAAACCCAAGGACCTCACTGTTGAGTCCTTTTGACCCTTGGGGGTGAAGGAAAAAGTTTTGGTCTTCAAGCCCATGTGGTCTGAAGGATGACTCCATAATCAGGTAAACCCTAAACCCCTGGAGATCAAAATAGCCCAAAAGCCTTATAGAGTAGGCCCAAAAGCCCTAGTATATGAGCAATTGGAGACCGGTATTTTCGGTTTGGGGTAATCAGTAGTTCTGTAGGCTAGTATAGTGTATGATAGATATGGGGACACTGAAACACTTTAGACTAGCCCCAAGGCCCAGAAACCTTAAACACGAGTCATCCCGCAAAATACCCCACATGGTAACCCTTTTAGTCGTTGTAGCATCTCCCCTAAGCCTTAAACCCTACTTGGAGGATCATGGGACTTAGTAAGTATGGTTGCAAGCACCTTAACTGGGGTTATCAGTAAGTTCAATAACCTTACTTACTAAGTCCCATGATCCGTTAAGCACACCCCCCTTATAGAATCCTTATGGATCCCTTAAAAGGATCCTTTTCAGGATCCCTAATTACTAAGTCCCATGATCCTTAGCTCGACGATCCCAAAGCCCCCCAAGGCGGCTGAACGCACCATGGGATCGCGTAACTCGGGTTAAAAGCCCCTAGGGCTCTAAGGATTCATATATAGTTTAGGGTTCCTTTAAAGGGATCTATCAGGGGTCCTTGAAAGGGGTCTATAGGGTTTAGGGCTTGAAGGACTCATACATTAAGGCTATTGGGCCCAAAGACTATACTGTGTAAGACCTTTAGGCTATTTTGATGCCCATGGAAATGGGGCAATCTGTACGTATCGTAAGTTCTGCGCAATTGCTCATAATCATCGAGCAAGGGTACATAGTGGAAGTCAAGTTTTAAGTTTCTTAGATACATTATGGTCCCAAGTCAGGTAGTTAAGGTAGTTTGAAGTATTCTTTAGATACATTAAGCATCGCCCCAATTAACTTACAACCGTACTGACTAAGCCCACGAGCCTCCAAGCAGGAGCGGCTCGACACCTACTCCTGCTAGAAGAATCTCACTGACGGAGAGGCAGCAGAATTCGGGTTCTTTCAACCCAAAACCCGGAACCCTAAAACCTGTTAATCCGAAACAAACCTTATATAAGGATCTACAAGGCTTTCTTGCAAGGGCTGTAGTAAGGGGTTAATGATGGATTTAGAACTTAGCCGTGGTTTCGAAAGTTTAGGCCATCAGGATTTCGGAGTTAGGTCGCAAGTAGAGCTAGTAATGCCAAATTGTTTGGGCTCCTGAGTAGCACAGACCCTGTCCCCCTTTTTATTTCAGGGTCCCCTTACTAAAGCCGAATAGGAGGAAAACGGGGCACCCTTATTTTGTTGGAGGCTACTCCGGAACCTAGCTATTGTCGCATATATTCTCTTATCCCAAAACCCTGTTCTGACGAGTTCCTAAAATTGCAAACGAGCCCGTGGCTCAGCTCTTCAAAAGGCTTTGTTCTAGTTCTTGAAGAATCACGACTAATCAGTGAATCTCATTCAAATTATTGTAGAAGAGAAGATGTATACATGTACACATACAGTTTACAAGCTTAAAGGCATCTTCCTTCTTTAAAGGGAGGGCTTAGGATTTAGTGTGTCCTGTAAGCTTAGCCTGTAGAAACCCTGATGCATAAACACCCGCCCTTAATCAGGATTACGATGCTGATTAAGGCCCTTGCCGGAAGGCACTAGTCTGACAATCATCATCAATACCACGCTTGTTGGGGATCCAAGATCAGCTCAATGGGAAACTAAAGGAACGCATCGCTGCTGCGGAGAGACAAGCAGCGGGGGTTTGTTCGTCAGGGTTTACCGTCTAGAATACGAATAAATGTGAAAACCGCAAGCCCTGTCACCCCTAACCTTTTCGAGCGGCCGTTTTGCCAAACTCAAACTATCCCGTGATGTGAAATTAGTCAGAGCCCTAAACCCACATCCATGACAGCGCTTCCCATTCCAAACAAACCCAAATACGCCTTAAACCCCCTGACTAAATCCAAAGCCTGAAACCCGAACCCCGCACCCGTCCCCCCTACTATTCCTTAGGGTTATGTCCGACTTTTGTCCTAACTTTCAGATCGACAGTGCCCCTGAAATAGGACTTCCATAGAAGCACATAGGAATCCTGTGTGTTTTTGCAATAGGTAAAATCGGAGAAAAAATGTGAAAAATAAATACCGGCACGTCCATTTCCACCCTGTGGCCCTGCATGTTCTAATTTTCCCATGTTCTTGCCCAGGTTTCACATGTTTCCACAATTTTCACCTGTGGTATTCCTGTCTGTCTGTATGTTATTCACAGGTTTACATTGTGTTTTCCTATGTCGTTCCTACTGTTTTTTCCTAGCTTATTACTATTTTTCCCAGCTGGCTTCCTATTTACCATGTATTCCGTATTTCCTGCCAACCTGTAATTCCCACATTTTCCTTATGCGTTCCTTAAGCTGGAATTTTTGGAGGTTCTCTAGGATTAGCACTATTGAGTCGGACAGAAGCCTATGGTTCCTTCTGATGTTTAATCCGTGCCGGGTCTATGTATCTAATGCAGGGGCGTTAGCAATTAGAACGGGGTTTTGGGGCCCATCATCCTATGATTCCGATAAGGAACCCCCAAAAGAGTGTTGGTAAATATTTAGGCCCCTATAGTATATATATATGTATATACACACATATATATATATATATGTACACACACACACACATATATATATATATATATATATATATATATTTGTATATGCCGTTCTCTCAACCAGCCAACGTGCCTCTTGAGATCGCTATGCATTCTCGCGCACTGCCTTTACAGGCTCCATGTAAGATATCATAGCATTTTTGGAGGATCATGGGACTTAGTAAGTATGGTTCCTTAAAGGGCTCCTTAAAGGGAACCTTAAAGGGATCTATAAGAGTTCTAGAATGGGAGGGTCATGGGACTTAGTAAGTATGGTTACAAGCACCTTAACTGGGGTTCTAAATAAGCATAAGTATAACTACACCAACAATAACTTTAGTTACTAAGTTGCATGATCCTTTACGTACCCCAAAACCCTGCAGGTAAGGGCCTTGCATTCTACAGCCCTTGTTGGACCCTTCTCGGCCCTAAGCGACCCTAAATCCCAAACCCACCCCCCTTGACAACAAAACACCACTAAACCCCAAGAACCTTAAGCCATCCCCAATCTCCCTAAACCCTGAACCCCCACGTAATAACAAATAACTAAACCCCTTCCCCCCTTCAAACAAACGCGCCGAAACCCTGAACCTTAAAACCTAAAACCAGACAATCCAGACCCCTAAACCTTAAACCCTAAACCCTACCCTAATGCTCCTGGAGCCTCGTAGTGAGATCCCAAACCTCAGCCCAAACCCTCGCCCACGAAGCCCATGACCCTCTTAGGAGCCGTAGGGTAAACCATCAAAAAGAGACGCCGAAACCTTAAACCTCCAACCCCCAAACCAGAACAAAAAGAGACCCCTAAACCCTCAACCCTAAAGCTTAAACCTTAAGCCCTAAACCCTAAGCCCTAAACCCTAAACCTGAAGCCCTAGACCTTAAACCCTAAATCCTTAAGCCCCTCAAAAAGAGACGCTCCGCAGGGTTTCGGCAACCTCGGAGAGCCCCGTCGACAGCGGCGTACCGAGCCCGGTCGCCTTTCCTCCTCAAGAGGTCGCCAGAGCATCTCGGTCTCGGACGGTGGGGTTTTTGGGTTTTAGGCTTTTTGGGTGCATTTTTTTTTGGTGGGGGTGGTTAGGGTATTTTGGGGTTTTAGGGTATTTTGCTATTTTTAGGGTATTTCGGTGGTTTTAGGGTTTAGTGGTTTTGGCGGCTCTGTTGGGCTTTAGGGTACCGTTATGAGGTTTGTTTTAAGAGTTTCTACAAGGGTTCCTGTTAGGGCTCGGACGACGGTGTGGGGTTTAGGGTTTAGGGTTTTGACTTAGTAACTAAGGTTCCTTAAAGGGCTCCTTAAAAGGGAATTAGACTCCCAAAAAGGTACCTTCAAGCAGGGTTTAGGGTTTAGGGTAGGGCCCCAACACCCCAACACCCCAACAATCAGGGCATATTCCGTAATTTTTGGATGTTGGAGTTTCTGTGTGCAGGGCGTCATTAGGGCTCCCTTAAGGGACATAGACGGGTTCTTGAAGGGTTTTGGGCTTCGAGTTCCCTTACTTAGAGGATCCTTGGACTTCGTAAGTACGGCTACAAGCACCTCAATTTGATATGGGAGTTTCCGAAAATGAGGGGTACCTTATTTGCGGGTCCTTATAATAAGGATCCTACTATTTAGGGTACTATATTAAGGTCCCCTATTTTCGGAAACCCCCATATAAGTATTGGTACCGTGCTGGTAACCGTAGATACTAAGTTCGATGATCCTTTAAGTAGGGCTTTAGTTGGAGTACCCTTGCGGGACATATCGTAAGGTTTCTATAAGTTATAAGGGTTTAGGGCGAAGGACTTTGCGCACTGTTAAGGGTTTTGGGTTCCTTTGAGGGCTTTGGGCTTAGGGCTCCGGCTTTGGGTGTATGGTTTACAGGGGTGTGCGTTGCAGAGGTGCAGGGTTTAGTCGGTTTGGGGTTAAGGGCACAGGGTTGAGGTAGAATTCCTGTACAAGTTAGGTTTTCGGTGGTAAAGGTAGGGCTTAGGGCTTTGGATTGTAAGGTGTCGGGCTTTGTTTTCTTTGTTAAAGGACGTTTCGTTTTCATGTGCGGGGCAGTGTAGGGGTTCAGGGTTTTCAGTCTCAGGGTTTGTGGATCTTGTTGCGATCACGTTCTGCGACCTTGGAAGTTCTTCAAAACCACACATACTTCAAAAACCCTAAACCTTAAACCCTAGACCCTAAACTCCTAAACCTATATACTCAAAGAATCTAAACTGCAGACCCTGATTCCTGAACCTAAAATGTCCGAAGCCCTGAACCACAAAGAATCGAGTGCACGGTGCCTTGCAGCAACCCTAACGGTCCATGTGCCCAAATAGTAGATACTTTGGCTCTAAAGTACCTAAATACTTTCAGGCCAGAGTATATACTATTTGGCTACATGGACCCTTATATACCCAAAATCTCCCCAAACCCTTCTGGTACCCTTATAGTAATCCCTTAAAGGATCCCTTGTTGGGTACATGGACCCTTAGGGCAATAAAGCCGACCTGCGCAGGACCATCCCCCACAGTCCCCGAACGCCGTTGCGGCCGACCCACCCAAACCTGTGTTTAGGGTTTAGGGCACTTCCATCCCATAGGGGTGGTTGTCATAGTTAGGGTCCCCTTTATTCAGGGAACCAAAAAGGGACCATAATTTTGACAACCATCCATTGCCATCCCACACGATCGAATCGAAGTCTGATCTATCGAAAGCAACCCTAAACCCTAAACTTTCAACCCTATTCGCTACGGGGGGCTGGGCTGGTGAACGGCAGGCTGTGTTTCATCGTACCAAAACACGCACGTTTTGCATCGCGCCGTAAGAAAGTAGGTCGTTGCATGGAGCCTGAACCCCAAACCCCTAACCCAAAGCCATTAACCTGCGAACCCTAAACCACTACAGCGCCAAACCTTAAATCTAGAGCCCATAAACCCTATAAAGGGCCCCCAAGACAAACCCAGGCCCCGAATCCCTAAGCCTCTACACCCCAACCCGCCCCATATCGCGCCCTACCCCTAAACCAAAAGCCTTAAGCCCCAAGCCCTAAACCCAAAAGGACTTAAACCCCTACATGTTAAGCCTTAAACCCTTAACCTGCAAGCCCCAAAACTTAAGCCAAGAGCCCGAGGAAGACGACGAGGAATCCTTGGTTGAAATGTGAGAAGCTTTGTGGATGAAATCACCAACTTCCGAAGCCAAGGCATAGGGTTTGGGGTTTAGGGTTTGGAATTTAAACCCTAAACCCTAAACCCTAGGGTTTAGGCTTGAAGGTTTGGGTTTTGGGTTTTGCTTTTAGGGTTTAGGGAGCTTGCGAAACCGCGGGAGTATTCATACGAATTGAGCTCCTTTTACGGGTTCCCGAATTCTGAAGTTACCGATATTACTTATGAGGGACCCATTATGGTACTGCAGTTCAGGCGCTCGTTAATCAAAAGTCTGTGTACAGGTTTTTTTTATAAACGTGTTGAATTTCCGAAGTTAGGAAAGACGGTTTGACGCCCATTCTGGGGCTCGGAATGATTAGTCATAGTATCCCTGTGAAAAGTTCCTTGCTTATTATAATTGTTGTAATAGAATGGACCCCAGTCCTTAGCGCCAACCTGTACGTCAACCATCCAAAGTGGGTAACATAAGGGCGCAACACCTCCAAAAGGTTATAATTCTACATACATACTCTGGGGATCCAGGTAAGGCTTACCCTAGGGCTCTAAGGACTCATATATTAAGGCTCTTGGGCCCAAAGACCATACTATGTACGGCTTTTGGGCTATTTTGATCCCCAGGGCTAGGTTTCGAAGGCTCAACCCAAGGCAAAACCTATAAGGTAAACGCCAGAAAGTTGGAATACGATTAACCTAAACCCTTTATGGTAAATTATAGGGTATCCTACCCTGAAACCATATTCCAACTTTCTGCAGTTCCCTGTAGACCTTAAAGCCGAAACTGCTGGGAGGATCAAGCGACTTGGTAAGTAAAGGTATAGGGCGTTTCGGGGTTCAGGGTTGAAGACCTGGGTTTAGGGTTTAAGGTTTTTTGGGGTTTAGGGTTG